TCTGAATCCAACGATTATGGCTTCAACCCTGACGAGGTCGACTACAACGAAGGCGATGACGAGGAAATGGATCAGGAGGAGGAAACTCAGCAGGAAGACGACGAGATCGTTGAAGAGGAAGACGATGATGAAATGGACGTCGAACCTGAGAATGAACCTTCATCCAAACTGCCAGCATGGACTAAGAATCTTGCACGTGGAAGCAAGGGTTTGCCAGGAGACGGACTTGTCAACAATGATGTCTCCGAGGCCGCGGCTCACTTGTACGACAATGCCGTGATGTCAAAGATCATCGCAATGTTCAGACTCTACTACAATCAGAGAGTCACTCTGACCCCAGAGGAATACTATGCGCTGATGACGGCCACCAAGCGAGTCCGACTGGACCTGGACGACTTCTGCCCTTACACAGGCGAAGATCAGGATGGCAACCTCAAGCGACCGACGGAGCTGGAATTGGACGAACTCTTTCAGGAGAAAGGGAAGAAGAACTCATGGTCAGAGGGAGAGAAGATGTACTCTGGACGACCGAGAAACATGATGATGCCTGTCATCAAAACTCTAGAGGTTTACGAAAAGATGATGGAGTTTCTCGTATGTGCCGGGTACACTCCCGAGTCCTTAGGTTTCCTCATGCCAATGAATAAGATGCAGGGTGATGCAAAGGAGAAACAAGAGATGAGGGTGACCATCAGCAACTTTCTCCGACGATTGCTGAAGGGAACTTTTCCCGAATATGAATCATACACCTTCTTTCGTTCCGGGAGCCACGGCTTCCCCAACTGCATTGAACTCCCAGCTTTCTCGGTATATCTGAGTCTGAGAGAAAAGGAACAAAGGGTGGAACTATTCTTTGCTGCCCAACAATGCGGTATACCATTACCTCGCAACTCCATCAGCAAGATGGCTTACGCCATTCAACTCGCTGAAGCCGAGGCGCAGAGGGGAAAGTCCGAGATGAAAATGAAGATGGCTCCGAACCTGGGCGACGAAGTGGTGAGTGAGGTATTCAAAGCAGTCGGGGATAGCGTCGCCGCCAAGCGTGCCGCTGCAGACGCAAAAGCCAGATCGTCAACACAGCCTTCACAGAAACCTGAAGGTACTGGTTCAGCGTCATCCTCATCGGCCAGTGCACCAAAGGCTAAGGCTATGCCGAAGTCTTATGAACCATCCAAAGCACCACCTGCGAAACCTCCATCGCCGAAAGCTGCTCCAAAACGTGCGGCGGGTTGGGAGAAATCTCCAACAACACCTCAATGGAAGAAAGTCCGCCGTGAGCAGTAAACCAACTACCTCTGTCAATCCGAATGATCACTGGACTATAAGATGTGTATCGTCTTTGTGAACAGATGATCAGGAAAAGACCAACTGAGTGGACTCTGAGCGAGGCAGTAGACTAATTCGCTTAGGTCCAAGATTTTCATTATTCCCAATCTGCACGAAATTCTGCACAGTGCACGTGAATTTGTTAGTTAGCATTGTAAATCTTTGGTGGCGAAGCGGTCCACTTCTCCCGTCGGGTGAGTGACCAGCCTAGCCGACGCAGAAAAATAGATGTTAGCTAGCAATAATTCGCGATGTACAGCTTGAAGACGCGCCATTGCATCGACAGCCATAGAGTAGGCGAACCCGGAACCACTATTCCCGTCGAGTATGTGGGAAAGGGGGAGCCGAATGGCAGGTTTTATGTAAATAGGCGTAATTCGAGTAGCAGAAGCCTTTTAATTCAAAGTTCCCTCTCTCGTGCCCGTGGTCCGAAGGACACCACGGACATGGGGGGTGTCAAAGGGAACTCAGTGACAACACATGAATAACATGTGACATGTAAACAACAACTGCACGGGACGCCATATGGCTCAAGACCCCGCGAGTAAAATAAGCTGCGCGTGCCGCTGTCTCATGGTACGACAAGCCTGACTGCCAGCATATCAGGGACTCCGAAAAGAAGTTATCCAGAACAAGGATCTATTTGTTCACATATATATATATACATAATTTAATATATATATATACATAATTTAATATATATATATATAAACATACTAATATTCTATAGAAACATCAGCAAACTGTTCGAGGGCAACCCCCCTTTGTGCCTCCCTTGGACCCAAGGCATGAGTTTGCGCGCCATGCTGGGCACAGCCCCAAAAGACCTGGCTCCGGCAGTGGCCTTGGAAGCGTCACGCTTGGTGCTGCTGGGTACGCCCAGCGGGCTGATGGCTTGGTACTTTTCAATGGGGATATGTCAATTAATAGACCCAACAATACGACCCGAACATTCCTGGAATTAATACGTTCTAATCGGACTCGAATCTGCATTTTTTTTTGGCTTATGTATGCTTATGTAGGGATCAAGATGAGGATACAAACAATTGTGGGTAAACCAAGGTAGTCTTGTCCTTCGGACTTGTTGGCTACAACTGAATGGGGAAAATCCTCCCTAGCCAATAGTTTTAATTTTTCACATGGAATCTAACGTTAGCCATGGTTGATGCGGTTGGTCGTCCTGCTTTGTGCCTATGACCTTGGAATTGATCAGCATTGAAACATGGCCACATGTCTGTTTCAGGTGCCCGCGACTTGGACCCAGCAGAGCAGAAGTTCATTGAGGAGAACGAGGTGATGTGAAATGGCCTACCAAAGCCACGGATATCAGAGATTTATAGAGATTCTTGATAGAGGGGGATTTAAGAGTCATCTTTAGGATTGGATCATCGAGTTTTGGGTCCGTTTTTTCTGTTGACTTGTACGTCAATATCGGAATGGCAATGAGGGTCAGGAGTGAAGCACTTGCACATGCTTTTCGGGCTCGAGGGTTGGAACCCCACATCGCGTTCAATTTGGCATTTTTTGGTCTGCCAGTTTTGGCAACCAAGGCTTATGTTGGGGATTTTGCCTTCTTTAGACGGGCTATGTGCCCATGTGGGTTCATGTCGATGTGGGTATTTGTGGGTTGATGAAAGGCCCCCACCGCCACCCCCTACCACCCCTTCCAAAGGGGTGGGCTATGGTTTACCCAAATGAAAGGCCCAAGAATGGGGTAGCGGGGTACCAATGAACTAGAAGTCATTTTTCTTCTCTGACTAACTGGTTTCGGGCTTCCCTGTTTTAGTTGTTCTTGTCCCGATTTCGCTGGTATCGGTATGAGTATTTCATATCCATATTCTAATTTACTTTTTTTTTGTTTATATAAACAATCTCATCTTCCTCATCTCATTCCTGTTGGTTAAACCTTCTAATTTGGGGATTTATCAGTTGCTATCCAGTGGTTGGGAGGAAGCGGAGGAGCTATGGGCATCCCTCTTCCCAACAAACAAAGGGGAGCCAAGGAGCACTAAGAGTTTCCAGCAGGTAAATCTAATATTTTCAGACACAATATACACAAATCAGATACTGTAGTTGGCTATTGATATCCCGTTCTATCCCCATTCATATCGCATTATAATTCATTTCTAATGATTAAATCCCATTAAAACATCATGTCTCTTGGTTGAATCAAGTTGAATACCATCAATTTTCTCGGTTTTTCATCCCATTAAATCATCATTGTTCTGAGTTACATCCCATAAAACCACCGTTTCCCATGGTGAAGTCAGCATTGAACCCGGCCATGAAGCCACCAGGTCCGAATGCTCCGAAGCTCCGAGTTGAAGGATCTGGGGTCCGAAACTGCAGCGCAGGTGCGGCAAGTGGAGGCTACGGAATTTGGGGCACCATATGTATGTACTGTGTGTATACATATATACACATGTGCTTACTGTTATTATATTATTATTGTTATTACTTTGATGATGATGATTATTATTATGAGTATTGAACAGCTATTACAGCAAGACCCTATGGCTTGAAAGGAAGAACGGTGTTCAAACATGATCCTCATGCTCACCTGCGTACATCATTTAGGCATGGAACACCTTGAGTTTCTGGGATCAACTTTGGGGCAGAAAGCCGATTTCCAACGGGCTTCCAGGTCCTTGAGACGGTGGCGCGCGTTTTGGACAAATCACTGCTGCATATCCATCTGGATCTCGATGTCCTGGACCCTGCAGAGTTTCCTCATGTGCTCCCTGGCGAACCATTGGACCATGAGTCAACAAATTGCCTTAGCCTCAAAAAAGCCTTGGATGAAGATGTTGAAGTTTGCGGGTCAAACATGCCATCAATTTGGAATGGCGCCATGACAAGCTGAGGAACGTTCCATCGCCAGGAGCGGGTCATGGATCCCCGTGTTGAAAGAACACGGCAGAATTTCAGAAAAAAACAGGTTCCTAAGTTTCCTACATTTCCCATGAAACGCTGTTTACCTCCAAGAAAGTCAGATTTTCCAGATTTTTCCATCCAGATCCATGGCAGCCATGGCAGGAGGGCTGAGTGTGATGCAGCTCCGGCAGCTCTTGCAATCCATCTCTCTCCAATTCCAGGGCCGCCTTTGCGGCCTGACGGTGACGGAGTTCCGGCCCAGGGGGACTCCGTGGACTGAGGTGTGGATGGCTGGAATTGGTGGAAGAAATGTGAACATATGTGAACATGTTTTGAACAAACTGGTGGTTACTGACCATTTTGGGTCAATGTTGGGTGATACTGCCAAAAAACTGGGTAACAACCCTGAAGTTGCCCCAGTTGGCAGGGTCCATCAAGGTCCCAATCCAGTTTTAATTTTAACATGTTTTGAGCAAAATCTCCAAAGCTTCGTCCCAGCCAGGTCGAGACTCAGCACTGCCAAGCGTTGATCAGCAGCTTCTTGGGCCCTGAAGGCTTGGACGTGGCCTCGCAGGCGTGGCGCGTGGATGCGCGTGGCGCGTTTTACGCAGTTGTGTCACGTTCCATCCAAGATGGTTGGCTCACACGTGACTCAACATCTGTGGTTCCCAACTTTGATTTTTTGTTGGCATTATTTTTTGGAACGATGTTTAAACACACATTTAATATATTATATCTTTCCAGATTATTTCTGGGAGGTCAAGGGTATGTTGAAATCATATCGCTGCCGCAGTGATCGAGCTTTGGCTGCCATGATCCCCGGTGGCCAAGCTCCGGTCTCGGGCCGAGGGCCGCCCTTGTGGAGCCATGGCGTGTGGGAACAGGGCCCTGAGACGGTACCCAGACAGGCAGCGAGGATACCGGGTTGGCGGGTGGACCGGTGCTACCATGTAGGACGGCAATGGATGGCAACGTTCCAGCTTCAAGGCCCTAAAGTGCCCTAAAGGCCCTGGGATTTTCTCACATTCCCCCAAAATCTCCCAAATGTATGTTTGATATATCTCCATCTTCTACTTGAGCTATCGCCTTCCCCTTCTTCATCTCTTTCATTACCGCCGTCACATCAAAATAGATGTTGCTTAGCAAGTTGCTTGTGGAACTTGTGTGGTATTCATGCCCATCCATCCACTTTAAAAACAAACGTAAGCAGATACCCCAAACATCCCGAATAGCATCCCTCCAATAGTTCAAGCAGAAATTTTCAGGACCCCCTCCCATGGCCGACAGTTGGACTGCTCCAGGAGGACGGCAGCTGTTGCTTCCACTCTGGTGGCTGCTGGCACAGCTCTTCGCCGCCGAACAGGGCACTCCTGCGCCCGAAAAGCCGTCGCCGGAGGTGATGCGGTAACGACGCTGGAGCCGACGCGGCCAGGGGAGCGGCAGGCGCCGCCCACGGGAGAGTTGCAGGGCGACGTGTTTTTGGTGCAGACGCTGGGCTCTAAGCTTGGAGGTTTTTGGGCAATTTCTTTTGAAGGGTTGGAGTGTTTTATTGCAGTTTTTCGAAACTATCTTTGGGTCAGAATTTCGATCACCAATTTTTTGGCCAACAGCGAAGATGGTTGAAGACTGAAGGGGCGAATGTTGATTCCTGGGTCTTAGTGTTTGAAGTGCAGCTGATTCGCAGTCTGGCGTCTGGCCCCAAGGACTCCATTGACCCTGCCGCCCCCAGTGCCAGCAGGGCTTGCAAACATATTGATCCTCGACAGGGCCTGTGGGCAGTTAGTTCTGTACGGGCACATGGGTCTCCCCATGGATTCCTTGACACAAGCAGCTCCCTTGCGCAGCCACCAACGTTTCCCAGTGGAGTCTGAGTCGGCGGATCCAGAGACATGTTTTTTCCCTGGACCCAGACCGCCCTTTTGCTACAGCATATCAACATGACTGGTTGGTTTACTCCCACCCTAGGCTCAGTGTAGCATGGGGCAACCACTTGAACTGGAGAATCATTTGCGCAAGCGGCCATATCGGAAACCCCTTTTCATGAAAGGCAAGGTGCCACAGTTCCCTTTTCCCTCTTAGGCTGGTATTCTTGTTTCATCATGTTTCATCATCATTCATCATAACATGTCCGACCTTATACCATCATCATGAAGATTCATGAAGAGTCCCACTGAGCATGAGCATTTCTTCCCACCTGACCTGACAGTGGTATGCGGTGTTTGGAACCGGTATCCATCGAAAGCATGCCTTTGGCATCACAACTTCTATTTGTTTTGACCAGAGGAATGAAGCAACCGATTGTAGAGCTGGATCGGGACAACAGTCAGGCACATAATATACAAATGAACAACACGTTTTTGTTGCACTTTTGCTTGTGCACCTCACCACACCAATTCGAGGCATCCAGAATTGTTCCACAATAAATTACAATAATCAATTATACATCTTCCTACAACATGATCTAAATGGGATATGAATGAAACAAAATGATCATGATTTCTCAAAGTTAAAACAAAAACATCCCAAAGTTAAAAGTTGATTTCCTATCAATACCCATCAGTTTTATCAACTTTTGAACTCCAAAAAGATCTTTTGAGAACTCAGTTTCTAGATGTTCTCCACCGAGGCCCAAGCATTCGGTGGTGCTGGCCTCGCTGAGCCACGGCGGCTACGCGGCCTTTGACTTCGTCCCCGAGGCGGCGGAGGATCCCATGGTGGCGCTGCAGCTGTTGCTAGGCGCCCTGACGGCGCGTTACAACGGGCGGAAGGGTTCCCTACAACCGAAGCTCAACCGAAAAGCCATGGCTTATCATGTGTATTCATCTCATGTGTTTTTTTCCATGTGTTTTGTCCTATACTATGTGATTCTTTAGTGTTACTAGTAACAATTATAAGAATACATGTTGATGCATGTGAATGGTATACTTATGTTGAAACTCAGAATCCTCATGTTAATGATATAGAATAAGATCATGTAGAAGATCATCCCGCGCAGGGGACGGTTTATCATCGTGGATCCAAATAAAATAAATATGTTGCATCATGTTTTAGGGAAACAAAGATGTAAAATCACATGTTCCAGGTGGCTTGCTTTCAACAGAGGTCACCAGGCAATTTGTATAAGTTTGTCGCACCTGCCCACCTGCCAAAAACATCATGAACATTCATGAACTATGAACAACAAATGAGCCTCCAAATTATAGCCTTTCCATTTTTCCCAGATCTGTTTCACCGGGGAAATCCATCGGTACAACCAACCGGTAGTTGGATGTGGATCCCAGGTCTACATCCCGTTTTTGCTGCTGACTTCCGTTATTCCCTGTGAATTTTAGTCAGGTAAGCCATGGTAAACCAGTAAGCCACCCAGTAAATCCCCATTTAAAAATCCAGCTATATCCTAAACTTCCATGGTTAAATCTCCAGTCTCCAGTATTATTACCACGTTGACCATCCGGTAAATTAACACAGCTATGGAAAATCACCAGTTTTGACAGGTAAAACATCTATAATCATCCCTATAGGCCCTTGGATGTGCGTCAATAGATGATATTGATTATGATAGCATTATCACATATCATCAGCAACATGCTATCACAATATACTACTGTGATCAACATTATCATTACACCACCATTATCACATATTATGAAAGCATTATTAGGTGATATTAGATGATCGATGATATTTTTTCTAATCACATATTATCACCATTATCACCATTATGATTCCAACATGTATACTACATATATTATCAATATTGATATTGGTAATTATATTATCACATATGATCATCTATCTATCCCCGCATAGATGAAATACCATTTGATATTAGAAGACCTAGATGATATTTTGGATGATATTAGATGATAGTATATCACTAAATACAGTAAAGATGATACTGTTGTATATCACTAAGACAGTATTCTAGATGATATATATTTGATGATAGTATAGATGATAGATGATAGTAGTATACTAATATCACATACTATTGGCAATATCATCTATATAATATATGTGATAGATTTACTGTTGGTGGTATCAACATTATGATCACACTATTGGTAATATCATACTATTGGTAATATCATTTAAAAAACACACCAATATCATCTACTATTGGTAATATCATCTACTATTGGTAATATCGTACTATTGGTGGTACCAACATTATGATCATATTACGAGGGCATCTCCCCAGGCGGTTCCGTGGACGGCCTCTGCGGTCTTCGGCGCCTGCAGAGGCTGCCGCGCCAAGCGCTGCGCTTGGGGAAGGTCAAGCAGCTGACGGTAGAGGAGGTTGCTGGGGCCAAACGTGGTGTCCCAGGCATCCAAAATTCACACACACACCCACACATATATATATATGGGGTTATATGGGTATAATTATACGGTATATATGGTTCTATCTATATCTATCTATATCTATATCTATATTTGTATCTATATCTATATCTATATCTATTTATATTTGGTTCTAGATGGTTAAATATGGTTATATGGAACATTTAATTTTAACATAGGTCAGATGGATTAGCACTTAACAGAAATGCATATCCAAGCAGCGGCCTTGGAGATGGTAAGGTTCGGATGACATAGCCATGGGGATTGGACCAACAAGAACGGGGGATTTAATTTATCCAACCAAATCTGGGAATATGATCAACATCCATCGACTAGATTTTCGGGATGCAATTCAACCAAATCATCATTCAAAATGGGGATACACGATGAAATACCCTCTGGTTTTCTCTCAGATAACTATGGAAAACCCACCAATTTTTAATGGGAAAATCATGGAAAATCCACCAAAGGGCGAGAAAATGGAGACGTGGGGGCCATAGATCTCAATCCCTGAGATGAGGCGCTGCTGTCTTGGTGAGTGGACTTTTTCTGTCCAGACATTAGGTTGTGAAAAGTACCTCAGGGATCGGGGTAGCATTGGATACATGATTATACTTGATTATACAATATAATTCATGGATAGATTCGATTGGACTTGATCAGTTGGTCAGATGTATCTAGACCTGACAGCAAATTGAATTGGATGACATTTTTCACATTCAGGCTGCTTCGGCCTGATTTTGCCTTCGAATCTGGATGTTTTTTTGTATCAGACGCAGCAGGTGAAACCTGTCACACTGTGGCTCCGATCGTTTGTTCCGAGATGTTCCGAGTTGAGATTTTCCAAATGGGTTCAAGCGAAACAGCACAGGAAACCCCTGCTATTTTTCTTAAAGAAATCCGCGGAAATTTGATGGACATCCGCGCTTTGAAGCTCTCAGGTGATTGCCGGGGTGAACAACACCTTCGACAAGCAGCTCTCCTTGACCTCAAACGATTGCCGCTTGACTTGTTGTGCAGCTAGCGAGACTCCAAAGAGACAGAAAAGTCAAAGAATAACATTTTACCACTTAGTAATCTTAGTAAAAGTTTGCTTTTATGCTTTTCAATCCTTTTTTTTGGGTGCTATAATCAGGAGCGGGGTTTTCTCACAGGGTGCCACCTTGCCGAGCCTGGTTGTCCAGTGTTATCTCAATCAGGCCATGGACAAATGTTGCAATGGTTTTGGATGACCTGTCTATTTGTCTATTTGTCTATCTATCTATCTATCATTATCTATCTATCTCATCTCATCTCATCTCATCTCATCTCATCTCATCTCATCCATTTGTTGACATTTATTGCCATATCTTCCAAGATCTGAGGCAACAACTACTCGCAGGCCGTATTGAAGGCCATCCTGCAGGACCCTGAAAAGATGGTGCAGGAAAGGCTGTTCTCCACCTTGGACTGGGATGGAATGGCCTCGGAGCCCTCTGGCTGATGCTGTTAATGTATGAAAATCGGTGGTCCGGCGAAGATGCTTGAAAATGGGTGGATTTTAGACTTTCGGGTAAGCTCTTACACAGACAAATAGTCAAAATGGATCTGAAAGTGGCGCTCCCTGAACATATCTAGTGAATCTAGTGGTGCCCATGATCTGAGGAAAGTGGAGTACAAGGAGCCATCTGTGCTGCTGCTCGTCTTCCAGACTTGGCATAGCTAGGTGGAACCGTTTCGGTTTCAGCTTGGCTGTCGGAGTGGTTTCCAAAGAGATTGAACAAAATCCCTTTGAGGGTGTAGGCAGGCATAGATATGTATATTTATACTATATACCATTTACACACACATATATATAATCACACACACACACATATATATATAAATACTCTATGACATGCAGATGGATGGCATCATTCGGGAAGTTCATTTCAATCTCCCGGGTTTTCGGCTCCAAATCCAAATCCAAATCGCCCAGGAATGCGATCGTTCTGGTGGCTGGGACCACAGTGGGTGCTGGCATCTTGGCCCTGCCCGCCGTGACGCAGCCTGCAGGATTCATCCCATCCACGCTGGCGCTCACTGGAGCGTGGATGTATATGGCCACCACGGGACTCCTGGCAGTGTTCAAGTCACAGTTTTAACCAATGTAACTCAGCCCCAAAAGATCAAAGTAACTGGCCACATTTTTTTGGATAACTTTGTTTTTCTACTTGGTTTAAGGGGTTGCCCTATATAGATGCATCAAGTCTTCCCTGCATCGGTCTAAGGGGCAGAATAATTAAGTAATATTAACAACTTTGTAGGTATGATGGCTCACACGTAGCACAGTTTCCCAACTTGCACCTGTTGAACTCACTCAAGTTGGTCGCACAAAACCAACCCATTGGCCTTGGGGGACCAATGAATCAATGAATCCCCCAAGGCTTGTGAAAGCTCTTCTGCATGATTTTTTGCATTTTGTTGCCATGGTCAAGAGTTGGATGAGTTGGATTATATATGCCCAGATTGGGCGATGGCCATCAGTCCATTTTCATAGACATTTACATGCCGGTTCTGTTTTCCCAGAATTTGTTGCAGGGAAGAGCTGCACTTTTTTTGGAGGTAAAAACCATGGCTTCCTGCGACATTCTGAGAACCAATGACGTTTGGATTTCCATTCATCCTCCGGTAATCAACCATGGCAATTGAACATCTCCTATCTATAGAAGGTTTTCCCATTTCAACCTCCATTTTTGGGAGATTTCCTAGCTTGCCACGTTTACATGTTCCAGTTTCCATTGTCTCCAATGTAACAATGACTGCGCCTCGCTAAGGGCTCTTCATTGCGGAGGTGGCGTGTAAAACAATGGCCACCACTGGAAAGCCGGCCACGTCCTTGAAATCCATGGCAGCAGGCTTGGGGGAAGGGCCTGGATCATCACACTTAACTAACTGGTTTTTGAATGCCTGGTACTGTTCGTCCATGTTAGTCCCCTATTAAAAAAGTGGCTTATCCCATCCAGAAATGGAGGTATCTACCTGAGATCCACCCCAAGTCGGGTCAAATGTATTGGGCTTACCATGGCTTACCACATCAACACATATTACACCAGTTTTTAAACACACATCCATTTGAGATCCGATACATTGATACATTCTGACACATTGTGATACATTCTATTTGGTTAGTATAGGGAACCATCCCAAAATTGTACTAGTTCAGGTTGGTGAACCCCCACTATATCCCCATAATTTACTATACCCTCTGGTAATGTACCATGCCTATGGAAAAGCATCGTTTTACTCGGTGAATTACCCATTTTCATGAGCCATGGCTTCCACAGCTATGTGAAATTGCCAGAGGCTATGTACATTCAGTGGATTGGTTTAGGGGACGTTTTACAGGAACACCCTATACATATTATATGTGTATATATATATGAATACTTATATATTTGATGGTAAATAAAATGGTTTCCCGTAGATTTTCCCGTAAACATCTTTCGTATACCTGTGACACTTAAAGAGGGTAATTCATCCACAAATGAGCCATGGCTTCCACGAATTCCCGCTGGCGACGCAGGTTCAGTGGGCCCAATAGGTGCCTGGTTAACGTCTGCGGCCTTTGTCTTCCTCCACATGGCTCTACTCATCGCTTACTGCTGCTGTGAAGCAGTAAGGGTGGGATGTAATATGTATATATATATATATGGTCAGCTATGTGGATAACTGTTTGATCTATTTGGGAATTTTTGATTTATTTATCGATTTTCCAATTTTTGAGCATTCGGATCTATTTCAAAACGGAATTTGGTCCTTGGTCTTCATTCCCCCTCACCCCCAGCGGGGGATGGTGCTGGTTTTGGAAATAGGCTGCCCCAAGAATCTAATGAATCTATTGGTTCAAAACATCATTTTTCACAGTATTGAGTGACCATATAACAGATGTAAACACCAAATTTTGGGTGCAAAGCCATGCTTTCACCAGGGTTTCTCATCAATTTTTTAGAACACATCTATATATATATATATATAAGTGTCATATCCATAAATCACATTTTTGGTGCTATCCATCGGTTTTTCCCCTTGGAATTTCCCATGAAGCCAGGTTCCCGGGGCGGCGAGCTCCTCACCTCGTTGTTGCCGGGCTCCCTGGGGGTGCCACCGCCCTTGGCGTTCGCGGGGCTCTTCGGTGGCTTCATCTTCGTCACCAAGGGCACGGTACCTGGGCGACTGGCCCCCCAGTTGTGGATGTTGGTTGGTTGATGTGAAAATACTGTTGGATATATGTACAGTATATATATAATTAATATATATAGATATATAAATATAAATAAAAAAAAATATATATATATAATATATATGAATGTATATATGAATGTATATATGAATGTATGTATGAATGTAAATACGCATATAAGTATGCACACACACACATCATAAATCACATCATTAAGCTATTGACATATCTATTGAAGTATACCAACTTCGCTAACGACCTGGGCCACCATCTGCGTTTTCCATCGTTTTCCCATCATCCCCTTTGGGATTGCAACATGTTGGAATCCATAAAATTTTAGTAGGGATTGTAAGATTTGTAAGTCCGAGCCAGCATCTTTCAGCTCAGGATGCCTTGGATCAGGGGAACAACATTTTCGCCACCATTGTTGTGGCCTCATTCTTCGTTGGCTTCTTGTGCGTGGCAAGTTTTCTTTTTTCGATCCCAATCCTGGATCTGCGAGGGAAGATATACGATGATATACCTATGTACAGAACTAAAATGATCACATCGATATATGGATTTGCGGTTTGCCCAACAAATTGGGGACCCTTCCCACAAAAGGGCAATTTTAGTGGAGGGCATGATGAGATTTACCACGGGATTTTGGGGTAATCCATTTTCAACAAACCCATGTGGGTATTTTTCAAAACAGGGGATCCCCAACACCATGGCTGCCTTATGACTCGACCTTTGCCCATATCATAGCTATATCATACCCAATATCAATTGGTGTTAGGGAAGATTTTACAGGAACCACCACATACATCCACATACCACCACACCCAAATGGGTTATAGATGTTATAGGCCAGGGTTTCTGGCTTCGATTTAACCAAATCTTAGCTAAGTTGGTTTATAACTGCAAGAACTAGGGTTTACGGATGTTTACGGTGGATATATGTATATACATATGCATGTGCATAGGCGTAGGCATACGCATACCCATATCCATACACATACGCATATACATATACAAATACATATACATATACGCACATAGACGCACACACATAATATATATAATATATAATATATATAATTAGATATATGATATATACATATATATGTATATATGTATATGACTTTTATATTTTTGATATAGATAAATAATATAATATAATACATATAACATATATAGATAAATAATATAATGTATAATGTATAATCATATATATATATATAGATAAATGGTATAATACATATATATATATATACATAATTTATATAGACATAAAATATATAATATATAATGTATAAAATCTATAATCCATAATATATCATCTTTAGTATATAATATATAATATAAACCAATTCTGAGTCTTTTTTTTTCGAGGCCTTGGTAGCCCTTGTCATCCCTGCGGGCGATCTTGGACAACTTTTTTCCACCAGCAACTGGTCACAAGCCACCGATACCATCCCCACGCTGCTGTCGCCTGGCGTCGATGGCCACGGTGAGAATGGAGCGTCAAGGAGCGTTAATGGTGACTTAATGGTGACTTAATGATGACTTAATGGTGACTTAATGATGACTTAATGATGACTTAATGATGACTTAATGGTGACTTAATGATGACTTAATGATGACTTAATGATGACTTAATGGTGACTTAATGATGACTTAATGATGACTTAATGATGACTTAATGATGACTTAATGGTGACTTAATGATGACTTAATGGTGACTTAATGGTGACTTAATGATGACTTAATGATGACTTAATGGTGACTTAATGATGACTTAATGGTGACTTAATGATGACTTAATGATGACTTAATGGTGACTTAATGGTGACTTAATGATGACTTAATGGTGACTTAATGATGACTTAATGATGACTTAATGGTGACTTAATGGTGACTTAATGGTGGACTTAATGGACTGACTTAATGGACTTAATGACTTAATGGTGACTTAATGGTGACTTAATGATGACTTAATGGTGACTTAATGGTGACTTAATGGTGACTTAATGATGACTTAATGGTGACTTAATGGTGACTTAATGGTGACTTAATGATGACTTAATGATGACTTAATGGTGACTTAATGATGACTTAATGATGACTTAATGGTGACTTAATGATGACTTAATGGTGACTTAATGATGACTTAATGGTGACTTAATGGTGACTTAATGGTGACTTAATGGACTTAATGGTGACTTAATGGTGACTTAATGATGACTTAATGATGACTTAATGGTGACTTAATGGTGACTTAATGATGACTTAATGGTGACTTAATGACTTAATGACTTAATGATGACTTAATGGTGACTTAATGGTGACTTAATGGTGACTTAATGGTGACTTAATGGTGACTTAATGGACTTAATGGTGACTTAATGGTGACTTAATGGTGACTTAATGGTGACTTAATGGTGACTTAATGGTGACTTAATGTGGCTTAATGACTTAATGGACTTAATGATGACTTAATGACTTAATGGTGACTTAATGATGACTTAATGATGACTTAATGGTGACTTAATGGTGACTTAATGGTGACTTAATGGTGACTTAATGGTGACTTAATGATGACTTAATGGTGACTTAATGGTGACTTAATGGTGACTTAATGGTGACTTAATGGTGACTTAATGGTGACTTAATGGTGACTTAATGGTGACTTAATGGTGACTTAATGGTGACTTAATGGTGACTTAATGGTGACTTAATGATGACTTAATGGTGACTTAATGGTGACTTAATGGTGACTTAATGGTGACTTAATGGTGACTTAATGGTGACTTAATGATGACTTAATGGTGACTTAATGGTGACTTAATGGTGACTTAATGATGACTTAATGGTGACTTAATGGTGACTTAATGGTGACTTAATGATGACTTAATGATGACTTAATGGTGACTTAATGATGACTTAATGATGACTTAATGGTGACTTAATGATGACTTAATGGTGACTTAATGATGACTTAATGGTGACTTAATGATGACTTAATGGTGACTTAATGATGACTTAATGATGACTTTAATGGTGACTTAATGATGACTTAATGATGACTTAATGGTGACTTAATGGTGACTTAATGATGACTTAATGGACTAAATGTGACCTCTTAATGGTTGACTTCATGGTGACTTGATGGTGACTTAATGGTGTGACTTAATGATGACTTAAATGGTGGGACTTAATGGTGGACTTACTGGCTGACTTAATGATGGACTAATGGTTGGACTTAATGATGATATGATGACTAATGATGACTAATGATGCTTAATGGTGACGTAATGGTGACTTCAATGATGACGTAATGATGACTTAATGGTGACTTTAATGGTGACTTAATGGTGGACGTAATGGTGACCTTAATGAGGACTTAATGATGACTTAATGATGACTAATGATGAATTAATGGGGACTTAATGATGATATGATGACTTTTAATGATGACCTTTTAATGGGACTTAATGATACTTAATGGTGACTTAATGGTGACTCAATGGTGACTCAATGGTGATTTAATGATGACTTAATGATGACTTAATGGTGACTTAATGGTGACTTAATGATGACTTAATGATGACTTAATGGTGACTTAATGGTGACTTAATGGTGACTTAATGGTGACTTAATGATGACTTAATGATGACTTAATGATGACTTAATGATGACTTAATGGTGACTTAATGATGACTTAATGATGACTTAATGGTGACTTAATGGTGACTTAATGATGACTTAATGGTGACTTAATGGTGACTTAATGGTGACTTAATGGTGACTTAATGGTGACTTAATGGTGACTTAATGGTGACTTAATGGTGACTTAATGGTGACTTAATGGTGACTTAATGGTGACTTAATGATGACTTAATGGTGACTTAATGGTGACTTAATGGTGACTTAATGGTGACTTAATGGTGACTTAATGGTGACTTAATGGTGACTTAATGGTGACTTAATGGTGACTTAATGGTGACTTAATGGTGACTTAATGGTGACTTAATGGTGACTTAATGGTGACTTGATGGTGACTTGATGGTGACTTAATGGTGACTTAATGATGACTTAATGGTGACTTAATGGTGACTCAATGGTGACTTGATGGTGACTTAATGGTGACTTAATGGTGACTTAATGATGACTTAATGGTGACTTAATGGTGACTCAATGATGACTTAATGGTGACTTAATGGTGACTTAATGATGACTTAATGGTGACTTAATGATGACTTAATGATGACTTAATGGTGACTTAATGGTGACTTAATGATGACTAAATGGTGACTTAATGATGACTTAATGATGACTTAATGGTGACTTAATGATGACTTAATGGTGACCTAATGATGACTTAATGATGACTTAATGGTGACTTAATGATGACTTAATGGTGACTTAATGGTGATTTAATGGTGGCTTAATGGTGACTTAATGGTGACTTAATGATGACTTAATGATGACTTAATGATGACTTAATGATGACTTATTGATGACTTAATGATGACTTAATGGTGACTTAATGGTGACTTAATGGTGACTTAATGGTGACTTAATGATGACTTAATGGTGACTTAATGGTGATTTAATGATGACTTAATGGTGATTTAATGGTGACTTAATGGTGACTTAATGGTGACTTAATGGTGACTTAATGGTGGCTTAATGGTGACTTAATGATGACTTAATGATGACTTAATGATGACTTAATGGTGCCTTATTGAATGGCTTAATAATGATGACTTAATGATGAACTTATGATGACTTAATGGTTGACTTATGGTACTTAATGATGACTTAATGATGACTTTAATGGTGACCTTACTGGTGACTTAATGGTGACTTAATGGTGACCCCTTTAATGGTGAACTTAATGATGAAACTTAATTATGACCTTAATGATGACTTATGGTGGTGACCTTTAAGATGACCTTAATGATGACTTACTGATGACTTAATGGTGACTTAATGATGACTTAATGGTGACTTAATGGTGACGTGTGATGACTAATGGTGACTTATGTGACTTAATGGTGACTTACTGGTGGAACTTTAAAATGGGGACTAATGATGGAACTTAATGGTGAATTAATGGTGACTAAATGGTGACTTAATGGTGACTTAATGGTGACTCAATGGTGACTCAATGGTGATTTAATGATGACTTAATGATGACTTAATGGTGACTTAATGGTGACTTAATGATGACTTAATGATGACTTAATGGTGACTTAATGGTGACTTAATGGTGACTTAATGGTGACTTAATGATGACTTAATGATGACTTAATGATGACTTAATGATGACTTAATGGTGACTTAATGATGACTTAATGATGACTTAATGGTGACTTAATGGTGACTTAATGATGACTTAATGGTGACTTAATGGTGACTTAATGGTGACTTAATGGTGACTTAATGGTGACTTAATGGTGACTTAATGGTGACTTAATGGTGACTTAATGGTGACTTAATGGTGACTTAATGGTGACTTAATGATGACTTAATGGTGACTTAATGGTGACTTAATGGTGACTTAATGGTGACTTAATGGTGACTTAATGGTGACTTAATGGTGACTTAATGGTGACTTAATGGTGACTTAATGGTGACTTAATGGTGACTTAATGGTGACTTAATGGTGACTTAATGGTGACTTGATGGTGACTTGATGGTGACTTAATGGTGACTTAATGATGACTTAATGGTGACTTAATGGTGACTCAATGGTGACTTGATGGTGACTTAATGGTGACTTAATGGTGACTTAATGATGACTTAATGGTGACTTAATGGTGACTCAATGATGACTTAATGGTGACTTAATGGTGACTTAATGATGACTTAATGGTGACTTAATGATGACTTAATGATGACTTAATGGTGACTTAATGGTGACTTAATGATGACTAAATGGTGACTTAATGATGACTTAATGATGACTTAATGGTGACTTAATGATGACTTAATGGTGACCTAATGATGACTTAATGATGACTTAATGGTGACTTAATGATGACTTAATGGTGACTTAATGGTGATTTAATGGTGGCTTAATGGTGACTTAATGGTGACTTAATGATGACTTAATGATGACTTAAGAGACTACTGGGATTAATGGTGATTTAATGAAACTTCATGGTGATTTAATGGTGACTTAATGGTTGACTTAAATGGTGACTTAATGGTGACTTAATGGTGGCTTATGGTGACGTTAAAATGATGAGACTTAAGAAAATGACTAATGATGAACTTCATGTGTGACTTAAGGTGACTTAATTGGTGACCTTAACTGAGGACTTAATGTTGGACTTATGATGAACTTATGGTGACTTACTGATGGCTAATGGTGACTTAATGATGCTTCATGGGTGACTAATGAATGACTTTAATGGTGACTTATGGTGACTTAATGATGACTTAATTGTGATGTAATGAGACTTAATGGTGAGCTTATGGTGAACTTAATGATGACTTATGATGAACTTATTGAGGAACTTAATTATGACTTAATGGTGACTTACTGTGACTTAATGATTTGACTTATGGTGACTAATGGTGACTTAATTGTGACCTTAATGGTGACTATAAATGCTGACTTAATGATGACTTAATGGTGACTTAATGGTGACTTAATGGTGACTTAATGGTGACTTAATGGTGACTTAATGGTGACTTAATGGTGACTTAATGGTGACTTAATGGTGACTTAATGGTGACTTAATGGTGACTTAATGGTGACTTAATGATGACTTAATGGTGACTTAATGGTGACTTAATGGTGACTTAATGGTGACTTAATGGTGACTTAATGGTGACTTAATGATGACTTAATGGTGACTTAATGGTGACTTAATGGTGACTTAATGATGACTTAATGGTGACTTAATGGTGACTTAATGGTGACTTAATGATGACTTAATGATGACTTAATGGTGACTTAATGATGACTTAATGATGACTTAATGGTGACTTAATGATGACTTAATGGTGACTTAATGATGACTTAATGGTGACTTAATGATGACTTAATGGTGACTTAATGATGACTTAATGATGACTTTAATGGTGACTTAATGATGACTTAATGATGACTTAATGGTGACTTAATGGTGACTTAATGATGACTTAATGGTGACTTAATGATGACTTAATGATGACTTAATTGTTACTTCTGATGAACTTATGGTGACTTAATGTGACTTCATGATTCCTAATGGTGCCTTACACGTATCGAATGGTGACTTAAAAATGATGACTTAATGGTGACTTAATGGTGGCTTAATGGTGACTTAATGGTGACTTAATGGTGACTTAATGATGACTTAATGGTGACTCAATGGTGACTTAATGATGACTTAATGGTCACTTAATGATGACTTAATGATGACTTAATTGTGACTTAATGATGACTTAATGATGACTAAATGGTGACTTAATGATGACTTAATGGTGACTTAATGGTGACTTAATGGTGACTTAATGATGACTTAATGATGACTTAATGGTGACTTAATGGTGACTTAATGATGACTTAATGATGACTTAATGGTGACTTAATGGTGACTTAATGATGACTTAATGGTGACTTAATGATGACTTAATGATGACTTAATGACTTAATGACTTAATGGTGACTTAATGATGACTTAATGATGACTTAATGATGACTTAATGATGACTTAATGACTTAATGACTTAATGATGACTTAATGATGACTTACTTAATGATGACTTAATGACTTAATGGTGACTTAATGGTGACTTAATGGTGACTTAATGACTTAATGGTGACTTAATGGTGACTTAATGGTGACTTAATGGTGACTTAATGATGACTTAATGGTGACTTAATGATGACTTAATGGTGACTTAATGATGACTTAATGGTGACTTAATGGTGACTTAATGGTGACTTAATGGTGACTTAATGATGACTTAATGGTGACTTAATGGTGACTTAATGACTTAATGGACTTAATGACTTAATGGTGACTTAATGGTGACTTAATGATGACTTAATGGTGACTTAATGGTGACTTAATGGTGACTTAATGATGACTTAATGACTTAATGGTGACTTAATGGTGACTTAATGGTGACTTAATGATGACTTAATGGTGACTTAATGGTGACTTAATGGTGACTTAATGGTGACTTAATGGTGACTTAATGATGACTTAATGATGACGTAATGGTGACTTAATGGTGACTTAATGGTGACTTAATGGTGACTTAATGATGACTTAATGGTGACTTAATGGTGACTCAATGGTGACTTAATGATGACTTAATGCTTAATAAATGGTTAATTAATGCTTAATCAATGTAATCATGGTTAATTAATGGTTAATAAACCAGCAATTAACAGATGGATGTTTAGTATGATATAATTTGATGATATTAACCTGGATGGTTGCAAAATCTGCGCAAGTTGGAAACTATTGGTAACTATGAAACACTGTAAATAATTTCATGATAACGGGATATAACGGGATAAACCACCAACTGGTGCAGGATTTCTTCCATCATCCATCCCATCCACAATAGGGATAGACATGTTTCACCAAGGGATAGAACCGTTTCTATTTGAATGTAGGGATAGACCAAAGGATAGGAACACCAAGGGATCCACATAGGGATGATAGGGATAGAAACAACAAGTAGAAATGGCTTTGAGACACGAAGATGGGAGGATTTACGGCTTTAACAAGGATCATTTTATCTGCGGTTTCCAGGGCAGATTTTCAACCCCAATTGGGATGATGTTCCTCTGGCACAACCTGCAACGCAGGTTGTCCTTGGTGTACCACAACGTGGTGCCTACGGTGTGCGCACAACTGGAGGGAGACCGCAACAAGATCACCAAAGCAGTGGTAGTTGGCAGTCTCATTCCATTTTTGATGTCCGCTTGTCTTTGCTTCGGATAATTTTTCGTGGCAACCTTTCATTGTCAAGGACAGTTTTGTTCCCCCCGGGAAGTTCATGGACACTTCTATACCCGTCCATGAGTCATTGTCCCGAATGTTGTGACGTTTTGACTGTTCTACTGCGCATTAAAAACATGATGACTCGGGGATTTGGAAGATGTGTTTTTCCAGCAGGCAAACCTCCTTAATCATAGTGATACTGCAGATGTAGATCTCACACACGGCTGCCAGCGTTATTATGCAGGTACTGCATGAATCATGAAGCAAGTGATCAACTAGATAGAATCCACATGAATCCACTAAGAAGACACAAACCATAAACCATCATAACCCCCTTTCATGTTGACTTTCGCATGTTTTTCCATCTTTTTCTAGCAAAAGGCATGCTTCCACAAACTTCCACAGATAGTTGGGGGTAAGCTGGTGCTCCCCCACAGGCACCAGGGATTCTGCCACAAACCTCAACTTATGGGGGTTCAAATCAAATGGTTATATCAGTTATATCAGCTATATCATATCATCATATCCATTAATGACCCCTAAGTATGGATATAGCCATACAGTAAGAACATATTAGCCATGCTACATAAATAAATCAATAAATAATTATATAGATATATAAATATATAAATAAATAAATATAAATAAATAATTAAATGACTAAACTAACTAACTAACTAACTAACTAACTAACTAAATAACTAACTAACTAACTAACTAACTAACTAAATAATAAACAAATAAATAAATAAATAAATAAATATATATATACACATATACATAAAACACTGGGTTACGATCCCATGGGTGCTACCATAGTTATCTCCCTAAATTTCACCCCAACTGCACCACGAGGTTCGTCATTTGGAACGCCGCCGTGCTGGCCGCATTGCCCGGCGCGACGGGGACCGCCGATCCCTTGGAAGTGCTGCGGAGCAGCGGCAGCCCGCTGGTGGCAGGCGGTTGATCCCTGAGTTTGATCCCTGGCATGGCAGAAACATGGCTGAAACATGGCTGAAACCCAATGATCAGCGATCACTTGGCTTCCCCCAAGTTTTTGGATACTTGCAACTTGCACCCCCAAAAAAACTTGTAAACAAACAAATCCAGTCAATACACATGTTGATCCACTGATTTCCTATCGAGCACCGGTCGTGGTGCAGGTGGTATTTTGGCCTTTTCGCTTTCGGCCATCGTCACTTCCTTCGTGGGATTTGTGGTGGCGCTGACCGACTTCTTCGCCGACTTTCTGGGAGGTCGCAGATTTTGGCGATTTTGGGTAGTCAGTGTATATATATATATATAATAATTATAATATATATATAATATGTGTGTATATATATGATATATATATATGATATATGTATATAATTAGTCACTATCCCATAATTTTGGCAGTGCCCAATTATTTCACCCCATACCCGACTTGCAGGATGGTCCAACAAATTCGCAAGTGAAGCCATGCTTCTGAAATTCTCCTTTCTTTGGGGCCTAGTTTCAGCCGGTACCTGGACCACTGACCACTGGAGGTGAAGACAGCTCCTCAACGGGGCCTGGCTTTTCACTTGCGAAGCTTCGAGATTTCGCGCTGACGCTGGTGCCACCGGTGCTAGTGGCCGTGTGGGATCCTTGGTACATTTGGTACCCTTGGGGTGGGCGGTGGTTGGCGAAAGCCCGGTTGAGACATTACTCTTTGGTAAACTAACATAGCTATGAACAATGGCACATTTATAGATGCTTTACCAACATTTATAGATGCTTTACCATGCTTTACGGATAAACAACTGGAATTTTGCATAGTTACGTAATGTTACGTATGTTAAATTACCAGAGAGAAAAATAGGAAAAACCAACACCTTCGAAAAGCAGTGCGGGTGCCAATCTCAGATAGCGAGAAGCAAACAACCTGACCATTTAGAGGAACTTGAACATGTTTTGGCCTTAATTCATCTCAGTTCAAGGGTTGGTGAATAACAATTCTTTTCCCCATTTTTCTCCCCAATTTGATGTTATGCACCAGACTGGACATGGTGATTTTCCACAACTATGTTAGTTTACCAGAGGGTATTGACCATTATTAATCAACAAATTAACCAACAATCATCAATATTATCAACCAACATTCAAAAATTAGTCCCACTAATTCTTAACCATTATTAAGCATTATTATTAACCATAGATTTTTCTGCCAATCTATCAATATTTTTTTCACCACATGAACTGAAGCCCACAACTGACCGTCAGGATCCCAGCCTCTTCTTCCAGGCCATTGATCAGGCTGGCGCCTTCGGGGTCTCGACCCTTTTCGGTTGCTCGCTGTGGCCAGTGGCCACGGGGATGGGGGGGCCCCCAATGGATTGTTAATGAATAGCATTCGTGGAGATCAAAAGTGATAAAGATAGTGGATATGATTTGATATTAATGGAATTTAATTAATGGATCAGGATCATATTGGGATGTACCCCACAATTCACTAATTAGGCAGTATGTCGGGGGTTCTTAAGCCACTGGGGGCACCAAATTCATCCAAGTATACTTTGTTGTTTTGATGGGAAGCTAATGGTGAAATGGGGTGCCCCAATTGTCAGATACTTCCAAACATGTATATCGGGCAATGGTAGCCGTCAGATTCTCTGCATTGAACATCATTGAACATAATGAGACCTCCTAGGGAAACCTTGAAAAGATGTGAAAAGCATGGCGAAGTTTGGCTTCATCATGGCCCGTTTGCCAAGGTTTGCTGCCTGCCTTGATGGTTCTTTCCCAGCGCTCCAACGAGTCGCCAGTCTTGACCCGAAACCCCGAATTTCTGGGCGGCTACAAACGCGGTCCTATCCTCCCTGGCCCCTTGCTGCCCCTGCTAGTGGCTGCTGTGGCCCTGTGGGTGGTCGGGGACAATGCCCTTGAGCTGCTCCAGCCGGGGCTATAGGGACCGGCCAAGATGGGCCAAGTACTTGGAGGATGGTAGAGGCGAAAGTTGTTGATGTCTGGTGATTTCTGAAGTCCTGAAGTGTCAGGATTTTCTATGTTTCTGGCAGGTGAGTTTGATGTGGGGAGAAAACCCAGCTTGTCAGTTGAAACTTTCTGGAGCCAAACATCCATTGTCAAGAGATGTGTTGACGGCTCCAACTATTGCAAGCATAATGTCGATCTGTTGAAAGGTGTCGGGTGAGAAGGCCTGAGCCAATTTTCGAGCTTCCAAACAGTTTCATTCACTTGATGTTGTGCGAAGTTTTAAGCTCCCCCATTGGTAACGAAAAAGAGTGACCAGGCTGCTCGGCATCAAGCTGTTCACGTGGGATGACTGAAACCTATCCATTCCCTCGTTTGTTTTTTGAGTCAACCGGTACTGTGGTAGACCCAAGTATCAACCATGGGCCATTTTCCATGGCTATGTTAAATAACCAGAGGGTATACTGAACCAACCTTGGTGTATATTTTTTTAAGCACGCCCCCAGTTTTGCAGTTTATCATTGTCATTATCATCATCATTGTCTATCCGGCGGTTGGGAGGTTGCTCGGGAGCTATGGCAGCTATGGTAATATGTTCCCTATCAAATGAGGAGCCAAGGAGCCACCAAGACTAAGAGTTTCCCAACCACATGATACTTATTAGCATGACCATCATTGACTTTGCCACATTATACAAGTTTTATCCTGTCTGCAGGTTTTGAGCTGGCGCCACGCGACTTAGATGCTGATTGCAACAAAAAAAATGGTCTGTCTGCAGCCATTGGCACCTCCCAAAGCCTGTTGTGGTGATGCCCTAGCAGGATTTCCACCCAATAATCCATGGAGGCTTTGAAAAAAAACGGTTCTTTTCTTCGCTTGAAACCTGGATGTGCCCAAAACCGGTAAGCATTGCCATGGCAGGAAAATCCACCATTCATGGATGATTCATGCAATTTTTTCCACATTTTATTGGATTTTTTTGTTGATCGCTTTTGGTCAATATTTTGAGCCAGGTACCGCCAAAAATGGCGTGCTGGGTCTCCATGGATGATTCGATAGCGCGTTGAAAACAGAGCGCTGGATCCAGAGATGCTCGGAGGGTGGGGAGGTGACGACTGGATCTGACTATTTCACTCAAAGGTTTTTGGCTGGAGAATGTCTGAGATAATGGATCCAAAATAGTCAGTGGATTCAACATGATTCAACCAGATTTGGATCTTCATAGACAATGTAAGTTTTTGGGTTCAACCATTGGATCTGAAGAAAAATATCGGGCTGGTGATCGATGGAGCTCAGATACCTTCCAACCTGCTGGCGGCGTGGCTCATAGGAATTGGCACCCCAGGTTTGCCAAAATGGCGAACCTTGGGTAGTCGCTGCTAACGTGCTGATCCACAGGTGTTCATTCCGTGAATGCCTTATCCACCTTTGGATTAGTCCTGAATTAGAAGTGTGAAAATAGCTGTGAATTTCACAATCTTGAACAAACAGAACATACACGTGTCGCAGGTGTCGCATATCATGACAAAATCAACTAATGATAAAGTTGAACGCACAACATCTAGATCCAGGAGGATCCAGGAGGATCGAGGCACCAGTTGAGTCAGATCTTGGGCCTTCAACCAGGTTACGGCTCACGCCATGTCGCCCCTCGATGCGCCACCAGCACCAACCGCTGGCACTTTGGCGGAGTTGCCCATGCTGCGGCCTTGTGCCAAACTTGGCGCCGTGGCCCTTGAAGTTCTTCGATACTGTATGAGAATCAGAATACATAAAACAATCATAAACAATCATATTCGGAATTAGTTATATTATGTTATGTTAGTTTTCGAAATGACACCGTAAAGCATTGTAGCCTTTTGTCCTTCAGAGGAGCACTTGCTTGGCATTGCAACTTTTGTCCGCCCCAACTCAGGTGACTCGAGCAAACTGACGCCACGAAGATTGCCACCCTGCGAGGGTCCTTTGAAATTCTTTGAGAAACTTTAAGTCGCTGAAATTACGAGTTACGTGGAGCCGGTTCACGAGTTACTGTAGAGTCAGTGCAACCTGACAGGATCATTCATTTAGCGCTGTGTTTGTTGGATGAGAGGGCACATCTTTGAGGAGTCTGGGTGGCCAAGTGCAACCCAAAGCATACATCGTTTAGATTCGCACAATTATCACAATTATCACAATTCCAGGTTGCATTGCCAGATTTTCTTTGGTTCCATCCTCATGTACATTTTACCTAAATGTCTCAAAATACCGTGCGTTTCAAGTCAGCCAAGGTTTCTCCGAGGCGGCAAGTCCCCGAAGGTTTGGAGGTGTCACCAACGCCTACCCGGTAGAGAACCAGGAGCTGAACCACCGGAATTTTCATGAATTTTCAGAGAAACCGTGGGTTCGTTTTTTTTTTTCAAAACCCAAACGATATGACACAATCATTATTAGCAATCATAGACCTCTAATGTGGGAAACCCAAGAATAAACCTACAGTTTTTTTCACAAGTGATTGATGGTGATTTTGGGGACGTGTTTATTATTGGTTTGCCACTTTATTGGGGACAGTTTATCATTGGGTTTAGATCATGATACTTGCACGATTTGGTGGGAACATCCATTTGCCAGCTATTTTGGCACGTGCTCATCAAGGGGAATGTGACCCATCCCAAGATGAGAAAAGCAGCTGTATGTCACTGTCTGATACTGTACGTAATCTTGCCTTGTTTTGGGGGGTGGTTTTCAAACTCCAGTATTGAATCAGTATGGATTCATTGATGTTTGGCTTCGACATCACGATCATGTGAGAGAATTTGCATAAATGTCCTTGATGTTTGGCCAACTTTGTCAAGTGAACCCCAACCATACTGTAACAACATTTAAATATGTGGAGGGCGGGCCAGACCGCAAGGCCCCGGAGGTAGTATGAAAAACCCAGTTTGTATATAAATGTAGTTATCGTATGTTTAAATGAATTGGATTCCGTATGTTTAAATGGCCGGGCGGGGCAAGGAAAACCTTCCCAGAGGTATATATAGTCGAAAATATTCGAAAATACCTGTTCGTATATTTAAAAGTCCGTATTATTTAAATGAAGTTACCGTAGTTCAAGATAGTTCACCAACCCAACATCCTTGCAGTTTGATATATGTATGTTGATAGATTTTGATATGATGATGTGGAAGTTTCCGAAGTCATGGGGGGTCTCCCGAAATCTTCCACGTCATTCTATAGACCACGACTTGGTATTGTACCCCCATGGTAACTTGGGGATTCTCCGTGGGTTCCGCTGCCCAGGACGTGCGCGGCCCAGCCGCGCCGCTGCCTCTGACGCCTCGGCCTCCGGCCGAAGGCCCCGAGGGCCGCAGCGCACGGCGCAGACACGCCGGCGCTGGCGCCACTGCGCCGGAGGAGAGGAAGGTCGCCACGAGTGCCACGGATGCATTTGGGAACTGGTCGAAAGCTGAGGCTTCCGTTGGGGTTTAAAACCATCATTTTAACATATTTTAAGCGACGATGTCCCCAAACCAATTTATAGATGAAACTAAAAAGCAGGTCGGAAAAAATCAGTTTTATTGCGAATATCATAAGTATTCAAGAGTTACAACCCCAATCACCCGGTTGCAACCCCAGTTCCTCAGCTAGTACCCCATAATTAGAACCAAAGACCTGATGTTTTCCTACCGTCAGAGGCCTTATCCTGTGCTTAATGCCAAGATCATCCTCTAAAGGTTGCAACTGGTTCGTCATCGGCTTGTACACCACCGGGAGATGAAACATCTAGATTATCTGGGGATTCCGTGATTCTAAGCAGAAATTGTCTACGTCATTTTACCCCAAATAAAGTGTTTTGCCCACCTCCATGCATTGAATGAAGGACCACATGGCAAGACATTTTTGAGAAATTCAAAACCAACAAAAAAAACACACACACACATATTCCTTTTTCTTGGCTCCCAGTTGTGATCGTTGTAAAACTCAGCAATTTTCTCCAACTTTTCCAGTCCCTGTGACAGGTCATTTTTGATGTTTACCATGAAGAATCAAGGAAAATCCCATGAAAATCCTCCCCAAATCCTCCAAATCCTCCCAAAATCCTCCCATGACGTCCCTCCGTCGTTTTTGCCGAGGCCTTCCACCGGTGCCCCTCACGGCGCGGGAGGCGCGGCCCCGCGACGAGTTCGGCGCCAGCGGCAGCAGCATGGCCTCAGGGGCCTCGGCGCGGAGACCGAAGGATCCCAAGGAGAGGACCTCGGAAAGAAGGAAACCGCCCATGCCCAAGGCCGGAACGGCCGGAACGGGATAGGGATGGTTGGAATTTGCTGGAATGGTAGCATATGGGAGCATTTAGGATGTAGTTATTTTTTCTTGAAGGAACTTCTTGACTTGAGTCTTGAGGGATTGCAGTGATCATTTTTTGGACGATGCTGATGGATTTCAAGGACTTTCAAACGGGGTTTCAAGAGTTGATGGAGGCCCCGAGACATTCCAAGGTGTCAAATGGCATATGTATATATATATATAAGGTATATAAGTCGCTGAATGAAACGCTGATGAATTTCAAGACATGGTTCGCAGCCGTGGCAAGCTGTGAGCTGTGCTGCTTCCAGCCTTCAATTCAAACTGCTAGCTGCTAGCTTTGTATCCAGCCACATCCTGCCCTTTTGTTTCTGACGCTGATCCGCCCACTGGTTTCGTTGAAAGAGAGCTCTTCAACCACCACCTCATGCTACCTTGGGAAACCTTGGATGGTTACTCTAACATGTTGTTTTTTACGTATGGCGGCAAATGAGAAGATGTATCAAACAGTTACAGAAATCTCTTGGTTTACCAGTCCCTTCGAGTAGTCAAGCATGGCAAAGGCCAATTTCTTCCATTTCTAGGTGATTTTCCTATTGAAACCTCCCTTTAACCCGCAAATTTCCCACTAAAATCTGCATTTCTAATCATTTCTAGATGATTTTCCCATCTCTTAGACGACTTTCCCAGTAGAACCTACTGTGGATGGAAGAAATCCTGCACCATTTGGTATACTGTATATACTTTATATATATATAACTAATTATGGAACACTGTAAATAGTAGGATAAACATGGATCAACCATCAACTGGTGCAGGATTTCTTCCATCCACAGCTCTTCCAGAGCTCCTTTCGTCCCAGGCGCCATCGCCCAAGGATGAGGTCAGCAGCAGGGCCAGCAGCTCACAGGGACGACCCAGCAGTGGAGCGCCGGCACCTTGGACATCTTGGACCGCATTCACCAACGGAAATCCATCAAAAAATGGGGAGAAATGGAGGAATCAACTAACATAGCTAAGTTGGTTTATAACTCTAATAACTAGGACTTATGGTAGATATATCTATAGTTAATGGGGTTATAAACCAACTTATAACTGGGGGGCACCACCTTGTAGCTATTGAACATGGCCATTTAACAATATAATCAATATATTTCTAGTTGATTTACCGATGGAATTTATCAATGGGTTGAATTCTTAGCCAACCATGGGTTGAATTCATCAATGGGGATAGAATTAGCCAACCATGGGGGGGGACTGAAAATTCACCAACATGGGGATGTGAAATGATTTCACCAACAAGAAATGGTTGATTTAACCAACCAACATGCGGAAATTTAACACAACAAAGGGTGAGTTAGCAAACAAAATGGTGATAATGGTGACTCCAACCAAGAATGGGGGACCTGAACCAACAAAACAACGGTGACTCAAACGACAAAACAACGGTGACAATGGTGACTTGAACCAACCAACAATTTGGGGATTTTACCAACCAAAATTGAACATGATTGAACCAACAAACATGTGGATTATGAGAAAAACGAGGGGGTGAGTTCACCAACAAAAAATAGTGACTTAACCGACAAACATGATACAGCAACCGCCAAAAAGATACCGAACAGTATTTCAAGGACAGTATAGTCGTATAGTAGAGATGATGTTTGCTCCATTAATCTTTCGTTTTTGGGGTTGCCGTACCATCATGGGGACTATAATAACAATAATAATAATAGTAATGGGGATGTTGATTATTTTACAAGGCGGCGCCGCAGCTGGTGAACGCTAAGTTGGTTTATATACAAATAGGTCACCTCATACCTCAGAATTATGCCAGATATACTGTATATCTATACTTAATGGGGTTGGTCAACCAACTTAAACCCGGGGGCCGCAATCTTGTGGCAATGGGAAAGTCTGAGAAACTTCTGCTGAATGCCTGAAATGAACAGAATACAGTATTTTTTTTGGGTTGACGATTGAGAGAAAGCTATGATGACCGGTCTGGAAAGAAGCACGTTGGAAAACCCATTATTATTCATCTCAACCTACAGTAGCTTCACGTATACTTGAGCAGTATCCTCTGGTAACCTAACCACATATTTCAAGTCTGGAAATCTCAAAATCTTTGTAGATCCCTGAGTTTACAGATCCATATGCATCCCAAACAATCTAGATCCTCAAGTTACAGATAAACCATTTTTACCCATGACCTCTCCATTTCCCTAGGCCCTCTGGGACCTTGACCTTGCTCCAGAGCTCTTCACTTCGGAGCTGGGTGAAGTGCTGGCGGAGAACGCCGAGAGCGCCTTGGGTTAAGTGGGGTCCACCAGGGTGAACCAGATGGATCTGGTTGGGTTAAAAGCCACAGGATGATGATGATGATGATGAGGATGATGATGATGATGATGATGATGATTGAGCTATTTTGAAATCAATGTAACACATCTGTTGATGGGCCATGGCTTTTATAGCCATGTTAGCATCGAGGGCTTGAACCAACCAAAAAACATTGGGGATGTCCCCACGGCCAGGTCAGATTGCATTTTGGAACGGGACCCAGAACAAGAAACAAGGCCAACTACCGGGGTGATACGCATAGTTCAAGTAACTGTGCTTGTAATCAGCCTAGGATATCGGCCCTATATATTGCTTTTTATTGCCTCTAGCAGCTAGCAACCTTGGCTGATCCAAGCCGCTCTGAGGTTCGGAGCAAGCCAATGAAGTGTCTCAGTTGCAACCTCTTGAAACTGACAGGGGTCACGGGACCAAGGAAACTACCTATGACCTATGATGACTTATCATTGACTGTCACCCGATGTGATGACGTGAATGCCCATGCGCCTTCAATGCGGCATTGGATGCTTTCAGGGATTGCATCTCTTTGAATGGCAATCAATGGCTAGTGCAAGGGCTGCAGAATATCTATAGAACCATTTTAAAACTGCTTGGGATCTGATCTTGCCTGGTGCCATCCAGTGCTCAGCTGGTGAAAAGATAGATTGTAATTACTAAAAGATAGAACATATTATTTTGTGTAATTGCACTTGGTAAAACAGCGACGTTTTCTACTGTTTTGATCCACACCAAAAACTCGAACTGGGACCTAAAAGAGACCTAAAAGATCTAAAGATGGCACAGTTTTCACAGCATATTTCGGCATATTTCGGCTATGGTCCATTTCCTCCCACCATTTCACACCTTCCAACGTCTGAGGACCTGGACCCCTTCAGTGCCGAGCTGGGCCGAGCTCGTGGCAGCCGGCCGCAGACATGGAACGAGCCTTCGTCCAGCTGCGTGGCCGGGGAAAGCAACCGGGGGAAGGATCCGTTGAACGAGACGTTCGAATGGGGACATATCTATTTTAATAATTTTTAATACATCATTTACATTATATACATTATATACATTATACATATATATATATATAAATATGCGTATAGAGAGGGAGATAGAGAGAGAGAGAGAGAGACATGTGATTGTTACATATCCCATCATATCTCATAACCTACGCTATCCAGCAAGGCTATATGATTTGCAGTGTGCGGAAGATGATTGGTGAGGGGAAGTTTGGTCCAAGAATTGTTGACTTTCAGTTGGGTGGAGCGTGGTGTTTCTGGCTAGATTGGGTGTTTTTTATTGAAGATCGGCTGATGCATCGGTAACTGGGATTAATCTCTTTTTCAAAATTTTGGTTGTACGAATGAGAACAAGCCGTTCCAAATCTCCACCAAAGGACCACTCATAGATCCCCTTATAGCAAGCTGCTCTCAGGTTTCGTGCAGGTTTTGGAAGAGCCTTAGCTGCAGCCGCAAGCGCTTGTGCTTGTCAAATCTCAAGTTTTGTTTCCCTCAAGGAACTAAGAGAAAATCCTTAGAGAGATATGAAAAAAAGGAGAAAACAAATATGAAGATCATTTAAAACATGGGATGACATATGGGAAATCATCATCGCTGAGTGGCTGAGTGAAAATAACAGGTTTTACGGACTGACGCATGCTGAATCGTGTGGACCTGACGGCTCTTCGAGGGTCAAATTTGGGCGCCCTTAGGTGGTCAAAACGGCATGCTACTAGAAATGATACAAAGACCCTCTGTGGTTCCCAGCTTTGATTCAATTTGAACCATAGGGACCGACCACTACCGAGGAGATGGAGCGAGAGAAGGACACGGCACAGGGTGTGGGTGTGCCTCCAAGGTTGAAGATTCCGAACTGAGAAATGTGTGAAATGGGTGGGTTATGTGTGGATTACAACATGTTAGAAGTACAGGAGGTGCTCCTATCTCGGCCCCAAACATGGGAGTTTCCCAATGTTCCCTGGTTCTTGAGGGTACCTAAAGATGTGTCAAAGGCTTTTTCTTGATCTACTAGAGTGTTTTGGATCCAAGGTCTCAGGTATGGGACATTCTTCAGACTTCAAGGGTTAGATTCAGAAGCTCAAGATCCTTCAAAACAGTCAAACAAAGTCAACCCTCTCCAACTCGGGTCGTTGGATGAGAGCAAGGAGTTCCAACTCCATCCCTTGCTGCTCCTTCCCTCAATCTGAAGGAGTTGTGGCACGAGAAGACGATGGCACTCCTCTCATCCACGCCCAATCTGAGCACTGCCCCCGGCTCCACCTCCACGTCCAGCACAGCCCCGACGGCTGCGACGGCGGCCACTCCGGCATCTCGACTTGGCGTTCCACCACCTTTGGAATATTCATCTCTGCCATACTTGAATCATTTGAAAATTTTGAGGAGCCAGAAGCCATCTCACAAGATAATTTCTAATTATCATTATCTATCCCTAATTTTTCATAGTTTTTCAGCACCCCACCGCTGAGTCAACCCTTTGTTGTGGCCAGTTCCAAGGTGCCCGATCCCAGCCCTGTGGACGAAGAGCTGGCGGAGGCGGAGATGGACGAGCTGCCAGAGGCGGAGATGGACGAGCTGCCGTCGGATGAGCCGCAGCCGAGCCTCATCGCGCAAGCCTTGAGGGATGCTGGCCTCGACCCGGAGATTGGGGTGACTGGAGTGGGTCATGTCGTGTGAGCGTGAGTTGTTGGACGATTCCACAACTGGGATAGAAAAGGGCATCGGGAATGCAATCTAGTCGAATCTCTAGTCAAGACATGTCAAAACACTGACGGTAATTAAGCTGCCATGGTTCCAACGCTTGGGAGCGGTGGGATGGTCTTGGCGAAGTAGAAAGTGGACCCTTTGCCGGGAGTAATTCACCCCATCCCTGCTCAGAAGAGGCAGTTCCACTGGCCTCTTTCCGCCACAAACAGTTGCTGCTGGCAGGAGGAGACGTCGTTCATGGACATGGACCTGTCCTCTGAGACCTTGACGGAGGCTACCAGTGACCCACAGCCGGATAGTCCACACATCATAGTAATGCCCAGCTATGCCCCTCCTGGACAAACACCCCATCGGAAATGTCGCCCATTAATGTAATACAGTAGGATTAATTAGGGACAAGAGTGAGGGTAGTATTTGACCTGTTCCTTTACATTTGGCAAATCACACCAGCATTCCCAAAATCATATTGCTGGCAGAATCGAACTTTCGAAAAACAACTTTGAATTCACGGAGAAAAAAACTCAAAACAGCCAAAACCCCCCAAAAAAACACTAAAAACCAGGAACAACAGCTGAACAACAGCTAAACGCCAATGAAAACCACCGAGAGCCAAGCTGTGGGAGGCACCTCGCACCTGGCGCAGCTCCTCCAAAAGCTGGGCCGCGCAGGTGGCACGGCGGAAGAAGGCCAGGGCCCCCAGGGCCCCCAGGGCCCCCGGAGGACTTTGGACCGGAAAATTTGAGATGGATTTTGGATAAAGCTTGGCGGATTTGGGGTAAAGTTTGGTGAAGTTTTTGGTGAATCAATTTATTTGTAGAGGAATATGCATATAATATAGCCACAATACTTATCCGAATCCTGCCTCAATGCATGGTGAATACTTGGTCACTATGCCAATTTTCAGGCAGTTTTTTCCACAAGAAGAGACTACTTGTCACAGGAGTTCAGGGTTGAAGAAGGGTTTCACAGAGCTTTTCCAGATGTTGTGCAAGGTGATGCCCCATAGCTAGGTTGGTTTATACCTAGGTTAACTATGGTTTATGGATGTTTATGGTGAATATCTGTAGAATTATTCTATAGTTAATAGCCAACCTATATAATCTTATATACACATATATACATATATAATGCATATATAATACATACACACACACACACATATATATATATATATATCTGGGGGGCCTCACCTCATAGGTCTTGGTACCATTTGTTCCCTCGTATTCCCTTTTCTAGGAGCGCTGCAGCTCCGGTCGTGCCACGCCCTGTAGTGGCAGAGAAACGCCTGAGCATAGGTGCCACCTGGGGATGGGCGCGTCGAATTGCCTCAGCATAGGTGGATGGTGATTTCAAAGAGTTTTGATCTGTTCATGTTTCAGGTGGGCACCCCGAGAATAAACCGACCACACCCGTTATGGTTGCTGTCACCTCGGCCCCTGGAGGTTGTGACACCTGGCTTCAAAGTTATGCCTGGGGCGGCAAGCTGCACCAAGGTGACCATGGCTTCTCTATCGCCACATGTAGGAAAGCAAATAGAGACAGTCGCACAGCTGAAGAGTGTGAGGTAAGAATCAACCTTTTAAACATCACCCTGGCAAAACCATTTCTATCCATTTTCACCATTTCTACCTGTTTGGTGGGACAAAAACGCATGTGCCATGCTTGCAGGTGGCTGGCTTGTCACCCAAAAGGGGTTCCTGTTTCACCTGATTAGCTGCGCCCATCGCAGAAGGGTCAGAGAAAATGAGAAAATCATTGCAGGTCGCTGTGCCGGTCAACGGTTCACTGATGGGTGTACCATGGTGTACCCTCTGGCCCATTTAGCTCGTTGATTTACCCATTAAAAAAATTGGTGATTTTCCATAGCTTTTTGTATGTTTACCAGAAGGTATCTCAAAATGCTGAGGGGATGAGGTTTGAAGGACAAGCGGCCCAGGTCGGCGCAGAGTTGCTGGTGGATTGTACAGATGTCAAGAACGATCAAGAACGGCAGATGTTTTGCCCAGGCTGTTGGGTTGGATACATGATGATACATGTAGTTTATCTTCTTGTAGTTTACCATGATTTACCATGTAGTTTGCCACTTCCCCTTGAAGTGGCCAGCATAACTGGTGAACTTGGGTGACCTGCCATGTTTTGGTTCAAACAAAGGGGCATCTCTCGCCACTGGCGGCCCCCACGAAAAAGCCTCTTGCCAGCGCTGGCGCAATTATCGTCAGGTAAACATACACAAAAATATGGAAAATCACCATTTTTAGTATGTTGATCAACTATAAATGACAATTTTCAATAGCTATGTTGAAATTACCAGAGGCTACAAGGTGACCATGGCTGGTAGATTTAAATCTCATGAGTGGGGATGACTGACTGTATGGGTTTGTCTGAGTCATCAATTGACCATCTTTGAATGGCCATAAGATGGGGTACTGCCTCCTGGATTCCCATGATTCATTTGTTGCATCCCCACGGTGGATGCACCATGTAAACCTTTTTCCCACAATTTGAGGGCTACCCCTCTGGTGATTTAACGCTTTGCTATGGACAACCCACCATTTAGTTCAATGATTTTCCCAGCGAACACCTTCATTTACCTCACATTTTCCATATTTCCTATGGGTTTCGTGGGTCTTCCCATGGGTTTCCCAGTCTTTGATGTCACGGAAGGGTTGGCTTTCCCATGCTTTCCCCCATCGAAAGCCGCCATATCAGGAGGATGTGCTTCTAGAAGGCGCGTTTCCTGGCGCTGCCAGGCCGGCGGTCTGCTGGGGAGTTAAGAAACCATGCGAATATCGTGGGTGTAATGGGGATATACACATGGGGACAATTGGGGACATAATGGGACATACATAAGTTATAAACAAAATTAAATAAGTAAAACATAGTAAAACTCCACAACAAAAACAAACATCAAACAAATAAACATACAGGTTACTATATATATATGATTATCGATCTAAAGGTCCACGTAGAGATTGTCCATTACAAAGGCCGCCAGGGTTCCAACATGAGACCCCGCAAAAGTTTTTTCTGAGTTCGCGAAAATATTTGTTTGAGCGAAAGATTTAGCGACAGACTCTATCATGAGACCTCCGCGAAGGATAACCGTGGGGTTCTCGAAAGATCCGCGAAAGTTTTTTTATTTGCGAAGAATGGTCGTTTACAGATAAAGGAATTTTGATCAACCGCCATATAGACATATGATGTAGTATGATATAGTGGGTCATACAACTTAACCGTGCTAGTGGGTGTATATCACTTAACCTTGCTTTTCGCGGTGTTTTGCTGATGTATGCTGGGAATTCTCATGGATTAAACATTCGAAAACGGAAGAAATGGAGGTGGTTTGCAAGATCGTGCAAACGATGTTTTTTAAATGTTTCTAAAGGGCGGTGCCACTGGTTTTGCTCAGTGTTTGGCAGGTTTCATCGATGCAGGCAAGTCATGAAGCATCCAATTCGGGAAGGCAGGTGACATCGGGTGACCGGATCACTGCGCCATGATTCTTGATGATTCTCTGCCCCAAGTTGCTTGGCGTACCCCACTGCCATGAATCCAACCCATTGGCATCCCTGCGGCAAGAGAGAGAGAGTTCCTAGCCTTCTCTAGCCTTCTTTGTGTGCTCTAACATGCTCTAAGACTCTAAGATACATAATTTATGTTACATAATGTATAGATACATCTCTCCCGGAATCTAGAACACACTTTATCCCAACCATTTTTTGGGCTCTGTATGGTGTGGAAAAAACCATCTGTGTACCTGAGATGCATCTTCCAGTCTTCCAGGGCCAACCTGCAGAGCGACTGGACTTTGGCTGCCCTTTTCTTGCTGGCGGTGTTGAAGGGTGCAGCACCTCGTAGAAAAACCGGGTCCCAGGATCCCTGTGGAATTTCGATGGGGGGTACCCGGGTAGCCTCCAGTGTCAACAAAGATGGCTGGGTTCCCAGCTTGCCATGGGATTTTTGGGTTCCCTTGAGGCAATGCCAGGCGTTTAATGTTTGATCCATGGCCAACTGAGCTTGAAACATCTGAGCCTACTTAGATGTGCATCCAAGTGGTTCATAACATTTCAGAACTGTGTAGTATAACCATATGATAACCGACTCACTAAATGAGATGCACCCCCAAGTGTAGGAGCCTCGATTTCCATCAAAGGCATGCCTGGTCAATCCGGGTCGCAAGACCAAGGACGTTCAGATGCTGCCATCGTCCTTTCGAGCCATGGAACATGAGCCCCAAGCTGCAAGGAGATGGGGTGTTCATCATGATCATAATCATAATACTCATTTTAATGCAGTAGCTATATATATAATCATGATGATGATGATGATGATGATGATGATGATGACGATGACGACGACGACGACGACGAGGAGGATGATGATGATGATGATGATGATGACGATGACGACGACGACGACGATGACGATGATGATGATGATCATGATCATGATCATGATCATGATCAATCTCACCTCAATGACAAGAAAAACACCAAAAAGGTCCAAGTACCTCCAAATTGTCTCTCAGGACCCTGTGCTGTTTGAGACATACAGATGGAGACACAGTTGCTTACTTTGTTCAGCTCAAAATGTGGGTAAATGACCCAGGCCCATGGATGGCATGGCACCATCATTCTATTTGGGCTGTGGTGGATCGCGTGATGCACTGATACACCTCCACTTTTGGAGGTTTATACCATTCATTTCAGACTCATTTCTCCTGAAAATGGCGATGCTAACCATGATTAGGTTTTCCCACATTGACAGATTGGGATGTACAGGATGACCCCAGTTCAATGAAACTAGTATCTCTATCATATAGATTTACCAATGATTTAGATATTAAGTCGATATGATCATGGTTTACCAATGATTTACCATATTCTTATCTATTATATGTATCTATACCAATGATTTACCATTATTATTTTTCCACTGCGGGCCTCTCTGGATGACCATTTTAGCTGTGTGCCAAGGATCTCCACTTTGCCCCCAGTCAGCCCGGGCTCCAAGAAAGGGGCGATTTTGATCATTGACAGTGTGTATGTGCGATGTATCTCATTTGATATAGATGAGTAGAATTAAACATATATATATATATATATATTTATGATATAATATATATGATATATACAGATTTGTGTACACACCTACTAGTATTATTTGTAGTTAATAGTATATTTTATAATGTAAACGCACACACACACATATATATTGTAGAGCTTCGCACACCGGCGACGCCGGTAGGGATCGGGGGAGGGAAAGAGAGAGGGGGATGTCATCTGAACTTGCGAACATGACATGCTGAGGGTCGGCGGCCTATCTTGGGGCTATGTTGGCCCATCTTGGGGCTATGTTGGCCCATCTTGAGGCTATGTTGGCCTATGCCTAGTGTTGTATTTTACAGCATTTTGTGCTGTGAGATGGTAAGAACCCGTGTAAATACCACAGTTTTAGTCCCCGAAAGTGGCTAAAACACTCTTATTTACAGAGTTTCGTTCACATCACGATCTTCGATTTTTTGAAAAACGTGTAAATACCAGCGTTTTTTGCATTCATCAAGACAAAAAATCGGTTCAAAAAGTGCAAAACATGCTGTAATTTACAGGGGGGTGGCCCCGTCACAAGCAAAAAACTGCGTAAATACCAGCGTTTCGGCGTCCAAAAGTTGCCAAAACACCGCTATTTACAGTGTTTCGTGCCTTCCACGTTGCTTGAAATTGCAGAAACATTGTAAATACTAGCATTTTTTGCGATCAACCCGCCAAAAATGCTGTAATTTACAATGTTTTTTTGCTTGGCTTTCAAAAACACTGGTATTTGCAGTGTTTTGTGCATCTCGGGTCCAAAAAGTACTGGTATTTACAGCATTTTCTGCGTTTTTGCATGGCTCCCGCCAACGACGGTAAAACGCAAAAATGTTGTAATTTACAGCATTTTGTGACTTCCGAAAAGCGAAAAATCGTCCGAAAAATGTGTCAAAACGGTACTTTTTTCCGATTTTTGGGACCTCCAAAACGCATCTTCAAATTTTACCATCTTTTTGTCCACCCCAGACCCCGAAAAACGTGAAAACCCCACCAGGCTAAAGGATTTTTGGGGAGGGTCGGCGGCAGGGGCGCGCCCCCGGGTAGCTAAAGCTATGCTTAGCTTCCCCACACTACACGGCGAGGCGTCGCCGGAATTAAGGGGCTACGCCCCCTGCCGCCGACCCCAGGCAGGGTAGCGTGAATATACTCAAGACGGCACACAAGTATGCAACGCATGCACAGCCTTTGCCTTCGTTTGCAGTCTTGCTCATCGCACGAATCAACGCCTGGCCCGCTTGCGCCAACGCGAAACCCGCCACCGTCACGCAGCAATCCTAGAGGACGTTCGCAAGGAAATTCAGGAAATACACGAAGCAAGACAAACTTCCACGCGAGCAGAAGCTCCCAAAACGGACACTGCCCACTCATCGAACCAGCAGCTTGCTGTCGGGCCTGACACGGTTACGCCACAACTGTACACATACATCTGCCCACACTGCGCCAAATCTGTGCAAAGCAAAGTGGCAACAGGACAAATCGATCACCGCCGAGGTGATGGTTGCGGCCACAAATTTCGCGTTGCAAATGGCTTGCTTGCAGGTCGCACGCATACGCACACGTGTCCGACATGCAGCGCGGTGGTGCATTCAACAAAAGCTTCCGGCCGAATTCAAGTAACTCATCGCACTCCCAACGGAAAGCAGTGTTCCACCAACCACTGGCACGTGCATAGTTGATGGAACCCTCCGGGCAACGGCTCCCACTGCCTAACGTTGCTTTCTGAACCTGCAAGAAAACTAGCTCTCTTCCAGCTGTCAACGCTCACAAACGGCGCCCTCGCCACAGCAAAACAGCAGGGCCCTGAAGGACGGACCGAGCCTCCGGGCAACGGCCCCCAGTGCCTAACGTTGCTTTCTGAACCTACAAGAAAACTATAGCTATAGCTCTCTTCCAGCCGTCAAGGCTCACAAACGACGCCCTCGCCACAGCAAAACAGCAGGGCCCTGAAGGACGGACCGAGCCTCCGGGCAACGGCTCCCACTGCCTAACGTTGCTTTCTGAACCTGCAAGAAAACTAGCTTTCTTCCAGCTGTCAAGGCTCACAAACGGCGCCCTCGCCACAGCAAAACAGCAGGGCCCTGAAGGACGGACCGAGCCTCCGGGCAACGGCTCCCAAACTAGCTCTCTTCCAGCCGTCAAGGTTCACAAACGGCGCCTCGCCACAGCAAAACAGCAGGGCCCTGAAGGACGGACCGAGCCTCCGGGCAACGGCTCCCACTGCCTAACGTTGCTTTCTGAACCTACAAGAAAACTAGCTCTCTTCCAGCCGTCAAGGCTCACAAACGGCGCCCTCGCCACAGCAAAACAGCAGGGCCCTGAAGGACGGACCGAGCCTCCGGGCAACGGCTCCCACTGCCTAACGTTGCTTTCTGAACCTACAAGAAAACTAGCTCTCTTCCAGCCGTCAAGGCTCACAAACGGCGCCCTCGCCACAGCAAAACAGCAGGGCCCTGAAGGACGGACCGAGCCTCCGGGCAACGGCTCCCACGCCTAACGTTGCTTTCTGAACCTACAAGAAAACTAGCTCTCTTCCAGCCGTCAAGGCTCACAAACGGCGCCCTCGCCACAGCAAAACAGCAGGGCCCTGAAGGACGGACCGAGCCTCCGGGCAACGGCTCCCACTGCCTAACGTTGCTTTCTGAACCTGCAAGAAAACTAGCTTTCTTCCAGCCGTCAAGGCTCACAAACGGCGCCCTCGCCACAGCAAAACAGCAGGGCCCTGAAGGACGGACCGAGCCTCCGGGCAACGGCTCCCAAACTAGCTCTCTTCCAGCCGTCAAGGCTCACAAACGGCGCCTCCGCCACGCCCAAACAGCAGGGCCCTGAAGGACGGACCGAGCCTCCGGGCAACGGCTCCCAAACTAGCTCTCTTCCAGCCGTCAAGGTTCACAAACGGCGCCCTCGCCACAGCAAAACGGCAGGGCCCTGAAGGACGGACCGAGCCTCCGGGCAACGGCTCCCACTGCCTAACGTTGCTTTCTGAACCTACAAGAAAACAAGCTCTCTTCCAGCCGTCAAACCTTCAAAAACGCGCCGTCAAGGTTCACAAACGGCGCCCACGCCACAGCAAAACAGCAGGGCCCTGAAGGACGGACCGAGCCTCCGGGCAACAGCTCCCACTGCCTAACGTTGCTTTCTGAACCTACAAGAAAACTAGCTCTCTTCCAGCCGTCAAGGCTCACAAACGGCGCCCTCGCCACAGCAAAACAGCAGGGCCCTGAAGGACGGACCGAGCCTCCGGGCACCGGCTCCCACTGCCTAACGTTGCTTTCTGAACCTACAAGAAAACTAGCTCTCTTCCAGCCGTCAAGGCTCACAAACGGCGCCCTCGCCACAGCAAAACAGCAGGGCCCTGAAGGACGGACCGAGCCTCCGGGCAACGGCTCCCAAACTAGCTCTCTTCCAGCCGTCAAGGCTCACAAACGGCGCCTCCGCCACGCCCAAACAGCAGGGCCCTGAAGGACGGACCGAGCCTCCGGGCAACGGCTCCCACTGCCTAACGTTGCTTTCTGAACCTACAAGAAAACTAGCTCTCTTCCAGCCGTCAAACCTTCAAAAACGCGCCCTTTCCGGCCGTCACAAACATTCAAAAACGGCGCCTTCGCCAGTCTCAAAAAGGACGGTCCTGAAGGACGGGCCGGCTTGCGGGCGACAGCCCCTAGTCAGTCCTCCTCTAACGCGCTCCCCCTGCTGGCGGCAGGGGTCGGCAGATATTATACATATGATATGTATATGTACGAATCTGCCACCACCACCTTTTTCTTAGTCTTATTGTTTGACCTGCAGGGGAATCGCCCCGCGGAGGCTAGCGATGATTGCATTGTCTCAAGGCAAAGATGGGTTATTTTAACCCATGACTGGATCCCAATTTTCAAAGGGAACCCCCATTGAAACTCATAACATTAAACGGCTCGGGGTTAATAAATCCCTTTAAATTGCGCATTATATTAAAATTGTGTATTATATATGGGAACCCCCTATATGTTCTAGAAAGATGCTGGATACATGCTGGCCAGTGACAAAAAGGCAGAGATCTTAAATTTGTCCTGATTTTCACGGTGAACACCAGTCAATCGTAGACAAGTTGGCGAGATTAATTCTGAATTCGCTTCGCACGAAAGAAGCGAACTTCTAGTTGAGAATTTGTCAGCCGATAAAGGATTTCAATGCCGGCATGACCTCTGGGTCGTGATCTCACTTGAGTTTTCTCGGTTTCTTTCAATTTGTCCACAGGTATCATTTACATAAGTTGAATCCTGCCGGTAATTACCATCAATGCCAAAAGTCAAGAAAAAAAAAGGTCGCACATACCCACACACACACACATATATATATATATATATATGACCATTTGTCAAAAATAGTTGTTTAGAAGTTTAGTATTGGTTGTTGATAATTCATCTGGGTCTACTGTTTTTTCCTCTTCGTAATGAGGCGGCACGCAACTAAATTCAGCAATTCTGCAAGGCAGCGCTAGCAAACCCGCTAGGTTTGCGCTAGGTTTGATTGACAGCCATGGCCTCCATGTCGTGAATGTCTTGCCAGCTTTTCTTACAAGTCTGTCAGTTTCCACATATTCCCAAATTTTCGATTTTTTACGTATTTTACGCGCTAGATCGCCGCTAGCAACGCGCTAGCGAAAATTGCAAATACATGCCCGGTCCACCCGCAGCCCATTCAGAGGCACAGCCATGTTCACACTTTTGTAGCTTACAGTAAGGAAACAGCGTTGATCAGGAGGCATGTCAAGAAGCATATTGCATTCAGAGAGGCACACACACAGAGACACACAGTTCAGGAGATAGTACCAGCGACAGCGAATGAAAACCGACGCGCGTTAGCCGATTCCTGTGGTTTTAGAAAGATTTCCAAAGGTAACGAAGAATTTCCACGTTTTCACGTCATCAAGGTAGGTCATGTTTTTAAAGGCAAACATGAGGCGGCACGCATGGAATTGCGATTTATCAACAAAACCGGGAACAGACATTTTGACAAACCGTCATATATATCTGTATACTGTATCTATTTCTGTTCCACTTAAGATGACATGAACATGTTGAACTCAATCTTAACATCTTATAAAACCATTTTTGGAGTGCACTTTTCACGCGTTTGCCACAGCGGGATTCGCCATCTATGGCCCCCTGAACAGAACTTGGTCCAGGAGTTGCTACGGCCGTGACTGGGCCTTTGTGGGGGAACTTCGTTGATAGCGGAGCCTCACGGAAGTGGCTGCTGCAGGCGTTGCTCTTCGCCATGGGACCGAATGGGACCTATCGGACCGTGGTGAATGGAGGGAGCTGTGAGCTGAGCTATGGTGATCAACGTTCCCAAGAAAAATGGGGAGCCAGTCTACAATCAGAGTTTCCTGAGCACATGATAGACACTCGGAATTCAGATGTTTTGTTTTTCTCCACCTCTGCTGCGAGCATCATCCCACGGATCGTAACACTAAGTCGGATGATCCTAAAGAAGTGGTAATCCAACATAGGAAAATGGTAATGTCTGATAGCTACAGCTACTGTATGCATATCATGTCACCCACAAACAGGTTATTTGGACGGCTATCTTAAATCACCAGAGTCAGGGTAACATGAATTGGCTATTCATGATGGGAATGGAAGCGATAGAATCAGGGGAGTAACAGGGATCTTTCCACAGTTTGGGGCTGCAAAACATTACTTCTATGGGGCACAATAAAATAATGGATCTGTCGTATGAGCGGTGTTCAAAACCACTGTTGCGTGACGATCATAGGATATTATATAATGGATATATAATGATATATGATATATATATATAAATACTGCAATGTTGTTATAATATCTAACCGAAGGAAGTTTAGAAGTGAAACTTCCGACAATATGGACAGTTGAAAAGCAGAGGTGAGAAGAGTCAGAATAGAAAAGATCAGAAGAAAGAAGATGCAGATGCGCGAAAAGGTAGGAAAGTCGCGAAACACTGTGTTTTTCCAATGATTTGGGGCTCCGGAGGGTCGAAAGGTAGGCTCGCTAAAGCGGCGGGTGCGGAGCCAGCTGGCCAGATGAGAGATGAAAAATTGCACGCCGTTGTGGCGCGAAGCACATTTCGAAGTCAAAATGTACAAAACACACCATGGTCGGACCACTTTTGGCAGTTGAGATGTGGAAAAAGTGCACGCCGTTGTGGCGCGAAGCACATTTGGAAGTAAAATGTGTTAAAGCTGAGGGGTTCGGACCACTTTTGGAAGTGGAGATGTCGAAAAAGTGCACGCCGTTGTGGCGCGAAGCACATTTCCAAGTCAAAATGTACAAAACACACCAGGTCCGGACCACTTTTGGAAGTGGAGATGTCGAAAAAGTGCACGCCGTTGTGGCGCGAAGCACATTTCCAAGTCAAAAGTGTTAAAAACTGACGGTCTCGGACCACTTTTGGAGGTTCAGATGTCGAAAAAGTGTCGAAAAAGTGCACGCCGTTGTGGCGCGAAGCACATTTCGAAGTCAAAAGTGTAAAAAACTGAGGGTTTTGAGCCTTTTTTGACGTGAAGATGTCGAAAAAGTAGACACTGATTAACTTAACTAACTTGACTAACTTAACTAACTTCACTAACTTAACTACCCTAACTTCGACGACAACAGCAACAGCAACAGCAACAACAACAACAACAACAACAACAACAACAACAACAACAACAACAACTACAACTACAACTACAACTACAACTACAACAACAACAACAACAACTACTACTACAACTACTACTACAAACTACTACAACTACAACTACACACTACTACACACACACAACTAACTACAACTACAACAACAACTAAGAACTACACACTACACAACAACTACAACTAAACCACTACTAACCTACAGCTACCACAACAACACAGCAGCAACAACAACAACAACTACAACAACAACAGCAACAACAACTACAACAACAACAACAACAACTACTACAACAACAACTACAACTACACTACACAACAACTACAACTACACAACAACTACAGCTACAACTACAACAACAACAACTACTACTACTACTACTACAACTACAACTACAACAACTACAACTACAACTACAAAACAGCTACAGCTACAACTATATCACTGCAACTACACTACACTAATTACATTACACCACAACTACAACTCCACTACGCTACAACTACAACTACAGTTGCAGTACATCACACTACATCCAGCAGTTGTGGGTGAGGTGACCACTGCAACCATTGCAACCATTCCAGCAAACACAACTCCAACCACCTTTCGGTCCATCAGTGGATTCGCTCTGCCATCCGTGATTCACAACAACCAACGTCTCCTATAGGTTTCCTATTCTGAAACTTCCGCCACCGCCTTGTGCGGTACTACTGGTATATTGTGGATCATCACGGTCGATGATGGGAAACCCTATGAACCAATCAGTATCTAAAGGGACGAGAGTGTGGGTCTTGAACACTGCTCATAGGTAACGCCCCCGCAAAGGTGATGGACATGCAGAGGAAATGTCACAGTTTGATCAGAAACAGCCTTGGCAAGAAATCGTCCTACCAGGATGTCAGGGATGTCAGGCTGACTTGAAACCAGTTATTTGTTGGAGGGAATTGTCAGTTGACCTTCCAGGCTCTTCAACTCGATAAGTTGACAACCCTCTGCAGAATTCTGTAGGACTTTCCGGTTCAGCCTTGGCAGGTTGGTGCTGGTTTGTGGGGAATTTGCACCTTTCTGCTGGCTTTGACCTCCCACTTCACTTTGATGATTGCCTTGAGGGTCTGGGATCCTGCGGGCCTGGAAGCGCGGGGTAGCAATGGAGCTCTCACTCTGAGGTTATCATGTCCGGACATGTTGAAGAACTTGGACATGCATCCAAGTAGTGTATATAGATCCATGCCATCCATACCATTGAGATTTACTTAACATATCCCGGTCACTTGATCGAAGCTGTCTGGAAAGCCCAGTCGTCCCATGTGAGGTACTCAATGGGGCAGCCTTAGCTATGATCGTGTCTTGGCATATTGACAACTTTTGGCTGATTCACACATGTTCTATTGTTCATTGCAGTGCATGCGAGTCATAGCTGAAGGTGCTCTCATCATAATTCTCAGGATGTTCATTGGATCTTAAATGTCTGCGATATTTTTCAAATCTGTATTTCATTCCTTACCCCGTTGATATTTTGAAGTGAAACTGTTCAGAACCCCCTGCATAGACCCTGCACATATTGGGGGTTGGAAGATTGGTTTGCGCCAAACCTTGGCAATTTTCAGGGTCTATGTCAATGTTAGATAACCAAAGGATAATATACTTTCTGAATAGTCAGTGGATATATTGGGACTGAATGCATCTAAAACTATAGAAAGCCCATTATATAGATTTTCTAGTAGATTCATACCCATCCCCCAGTCGAACTGGGTAAAAAAAAGATGTCAAAAACCAGAGGTTTCCAGCAGATTTCCCCAACGCTGAAGGTGCCGGTGGTCCAGTCGATGGTCGCCGATTTGACGACCTCTACCAACTGTGGAGCCACCTTTGGAAAGGCTGGGAGGGTCATCCGGTCATCCGCAGGCGCTGTTCGAAATGGAATCCACATGAAAAATGACGGTTTTGCACGGTTTTCATATAGTTTTAATATGGCTTGTTGGGGAAACATATGGACAAATCATTGGTTGAAATGGGAGAAGAATGGGATTTGACCATATTTGACCATCAGAATTTGGTATTGAACTGGGTGTTTACAAAAAATTGGGACAATCGGAATGATCAACAACTCATATTTTCCAGCGGGCTTCAGGTCACCCATTTTTGGAATCCCCTTGATAGATGACCATGCACCATGTACATCCATATGCCATGTAACTTGACCAGGTTTATCAACGAGCCAAGTACTAGTTGAAACTAGGTTGTACGTGGCCATCTGGGGGAATCTATCGCCACAAGTTCTACCAAGTTCTTCCTATCATTTTTTTAGCAGAAGAATGATGGTACATGGACATGGTGGTACCAAGAACCACCAAGAACCCATGGTCCATCGACTGGTAGAGGTGGCTGGAGGCGACTGGTCTGCCTTTCCACCTCTGATTCTCCAGGTGTCTTGCTCCAGCAGCTTGGGGCAAGTGCTGGCATGTTTGATGGTCACTCCCATCTCCGAGCCTTAGCTTGGCTTTATATGGGTTTATGAAACGGTTTATGACCTGTCATTGAGGTCGGGGATGGTTTTCCCCCTAAAAGGATTCCTCCCACTTTTCGGGATGTGGCTGAGTCAAGACCTGCGGAATAATAGCTGCAAGAGGAACGCTCACTTGCCAGCTATTTTCATGTTCAGTAGGGCCTTCAGTACTCATTTTTGATCCAGCGTCATTGCCGGTTGCCAGCTCACCTTGTGGCTGGGTGCAGCTTTTCAAGCTTTTTCTGCTACATGGGTTTGTGGTTCACCATAAATAGATATAAATAGCAATTTTCTTGGTGCGATTTTGCGGAATTTGCTGATCTTGGCGTGTATTTGGCCCTAAGTCACATCACTTCCGCAAAAGAGTCGGTCCCCTCTCCCCCTGAAATTTCGAATATTTCCTCGAGGAAACCTCCGTGTGGGGCATGCGGGGCTGGCGCGTCAGCCTCGCCTGCTTGGGAATCATAAGCCTCCTGACGGTGGCTTGGAAAATGGTGGAAATGGATCGTGGCATCTTGTGCTATGGTATACATGGCTCATTTATAGTTAGATGATGTTAGATGATTTACCTACATTTTTGAGGGTGAATCTGGATAAACCCCAGCGACCTCACAACGGGTTAGTCAGGTTGCTGGGTGGACATTGATGGCCGTATTTCCCCTTGGTGAATCCCTGACCGATGCGGAGCCACTGAGATCCCATTTGTGCGCTGGGCGGTTCATGAAGAGCCACGGGTTTGGCATCCGAGGAGAGCACTGGAATGATGGGGAATCATCCCCAAGTTTCATCTATAATGATCAACCCTGGATTAATAAACCCCAAACGGCTGTTTAATTGGGGGGGTACCATTTAAGTATTGGATTATGACTATTGGAGGAGTACCCCCTAATTGATAAACCATGGTTTATTAATCCGGGGTTGACATTATAAGACATATTTATCTAGTTTCAGATTCACTGAATTAATATCATTCAGCCGGGATGCTTATTATCACCCTGTGCAATTTTAATGGTTGCAATGATTCAACCCCAGTTGTGGGAGATGACGGCTAACGACAAATGAAGCATATTCCTGCTCTAAGCGTAATCTCACAAATGCTTCAAACATTATGTGATTTATATATGTATGTATGATTTTACATGCGCACACAAAGATAAAGACGTCATGTCATATGTTATCTATTTCTTGTAGCTTTTCGCTACGGAAGGTTATCTATGAAAAGCCAACGGTTTCTTGCGAGGAGATTTGGGATCTTCCGTGAGATGCGAACCATGTGTCTGGGCGGTGAAACAGCAGACAGCTTGGATGTGCATCGCAGTTAGTAAACGGTCTGTAGATGTTTCTTCCCTAACCATTGCAGCATGATTCTTTAATGGTTTATCCCCTTAACAACTGGATCGTAAGATGGTTATGGAACCCTTACCAGCTAGGATGCACATCCAAGTATGTGTCCTTCGGCTATGACTCAAACATGGACGGCTATAGTCCTATTTTCCAGCATACCTCTAAAATTGATAGAACATCATAGTTTCCCCTCTTAAATCAGCCAAATATTGGTGGCATAGGCCATTTTCGTACAAACCCGTGTTGGTTTTGAAGATCAGGTATCAATTCTTGAAGATTCCCAGCTTCAGAGCGGGGACCTTGGAATTCAGGGTTCAGATGAGCAAGAATCTGTCAGGAATTTAGGGAGGTTGGTGGGTCTTGATGTTTCAATCTCAAAATATCCCCAATCCCGGCTCCAAACACCTTCTGAGACTGCACTTGCGGATGGATTTCCGGGTCCAAACACCGACACTTAGAGGGTATTTGGAGCATTAGGATTAATTGTGCTGATGTCACCCATTGTTTTTCACGACTTGTCATAAGCATGATGCATTGACATGTCAACTTTCAATTTGCACCAATTTGCATATCCATTCATGCAGCTGTCCATAGCTGCCCCTTTGAGACTCAAGAACGCAACTTGGCATAAAAGCCGAAGGTTCGTGCTGTGGGAGGAGCTGGAAGGGCACAAATAGAGAAGAGTAACAAGTCTATTCATTTCTACATAGCCGAGCCTACCTGACATCGTCAGTAGCTCAGTAGGTTATGAGCCCAACGGCTTGAATTGGGCAAAGACATGGCAAACATGCAAAGGAGGAGAAAAGCAACTAGAGAAGAGTTGAACCAAGGTGAGGCTGAGATGCAACAAGCGCAAGAACGCATACAAAGAGAGGCAGAGGTTAGAGGTGAACTTCCGCTTGAGGATCAACAAAGTGTAGGAGGTGGAAGGGATCAGGGAGCTGAAGGTGTAAGTGCACCACCAATAGAAGATGGTAGTTTGGAGAATTCTCAAGGAACCCCCAAAGCTAGTCCATCCGGTGCCCATCCAGTTTCCGGGTCAACAGTCCGTCCACTGACAATGCCTCCAGTGGATCCGCCAGAAGTTCCATCGGAGGATCAAGCGTCAGCAGGCATCAAGACCCCTGCAGACACCAAGGACAGATCTAAGGAAAGTGTAGGTGGCTCTCAGCAGAAAGTGTCACCGAGCGAGCGTTTGGGAACTGCAGTGGAGGGGGACAGAGATAGAAGTGTAGGGTCGTTAGTTGAGCCACTCTTCACTCCTGAACAGGTTCAACATTTCACTGGATTGTTTTCGCAAGCACCATGGCTGTACACACAACCTCGATCAGCATTTTCTCCATTTTTGCAGCGTCCACAGTTTTTAGAACAAGAGGAGCTCAGAGCTAGACAAGCATCTGAGAATAGAGATCAAGAAATGGAGAGGTTGAAAGAGCGTTTGATGCAAGATCAACTAGAAAGAGAAGAAATGAGACAGTCCATGAAATTCCTGTTTGAGGAGAATCGTCGGCTGATGCAAAAGTTGGAAGCTCAGGAGAAGCAGAAAGAAGCTGATCCGAAGTTTTCAACACCTGAAGAGGAACCGCGAAAGTTGGAGCAGGCTGGAGACCCCCAAAAGGAGGCTGAGATACCCCCCGAAGTCAGGCTGCAGACCCCCAAAAGGAGGCTGAGATGTTTCCCCGAAGTCAGGCTGCAGACCCCCAAAGAGAAGCCCGAAGCTCTTATAAGGAGGCCGGAGACCACCAAAGAGAAGCCCGAAGCTTTTCCAAGGAGGCTGCAGACCCCCAAAGTGAAGCGGTCATGTTTCCATGGAGGTTTGGAAGTGAAGAACAGCGCCATCCTGGCCAAGAAGGAACAGGACAGAAGGAGTCAAGCAGTAGTGAAAGCTTTGCAGAGCGATCGCTTGGCTTCATGGCACTGATGATGGAGTCGATGAAGGAAATGCAAAAGAAGATGCTGGAGCCACGAGAAGAGGCTGGAATGGTCCGAGGTGTGGAAGTGGTTCGGACTGGTGTCATGGAGTTGCCAGCCCTTCAACAATGCAATCCAGCACAAGGACCTCTACAACTAGGAGATTGGTTGTTGATGATCGAACCAGTTGCTGCTGACATGTCCACCACAAGCCAAGAATGGTGGGGCGAAATGACCAAGGCAGTTGAGACTTGGTATCAGCAGCATATGTCAATGAATCCTTTGGATCGAATCTCTCATGAAGTCAAGCCCCCTCCTCAGCTGGTTCAAGATCGGTGGCAAAGACTGGAAAGGAGGATGTCAACTATGCTTCTTCAGGCAGTTCCAGAAGGGGTGCGGGATGAATTGGTGGCTGGACGAAAAGTTGGAGTGTTCAGCATCCTCACACACCTCTTCCTCACCTACTGTCCTGGGGGAGTCATGGAGAAACAGATGCTTTTGCGCAACTTGGAGGAGCCACCGGAAGTATCCCAGTTGGTTGAAGCACCAGCAGCATTGAGGAAGTGGCTGAGGTGGAAAACACGAACAGTGGAAATAGGGGCGGTGGTGCCAGATGCGGCATTACTTCTCAAGGGTTTGAACAAGATGACAAGAAAGGTTTTAGAAAGCCACAAAGACTTGCAGTTTCGCATACAACTGGCGAGATCAAGCCTTGGAGTTGATACATCTCCCACTGAGCTGACCGTCAGTCGGTTTGCCACCCATCTCTTGGCCGAACTGGACCAGGTTGCTTTGACCGAAAACGTTCTGGAGGAGCTCCCAAAGTTGAAGGTCCAAAGCTGAAGTCCTGGAAGCTGAGAAGCAGGACAAAGGAAAAGGTAAGGGTCAAGAAGAAGGTCAAGGCAAGCCGAGGTGCAAGTTTTACATGTCAGATGGAGGATGTAAGAAGGGAAAGCTGTGCGGGTTTTCGCACGACTTCAAGGATGAGAAGAAGAGGTGCTGGACTTGTGGAGCAGTTGATCACTTCTCCCCAAACTGCAGTCGTCCAAAGGGCTCTACAGATGGAAGTCCAACAAGGGCGAGGGTTCTGAAGACAGAAGGCGAAGGAAAAGGAGGAGTTCAGAAGGATGTGGAAAGCTCAAGTGTAGCAGGAAGTGAGGCAAGCATCAAGGAGTTGATGGAGGAAGCCAGCAAGATGTTGAAAAGTCTTACCAGCGCAAACACCACATCCAGCAGCTCAACAACAGCAGCATCAACAAGCAGAGAAGAAGGAAAGGACGAAGTGATGGATCGGCTGCAGCAGCAGCTGAATGCGTTGAGGCTGAAGACATTGAGATTGAGAAGGTTGGCTGGTGGAGGAGTGCAGGGACTGTTGGACTCTGGCGCGACAAATCCACTACGACCATTGAAGCCGGGGGAGGAGACCACCAGCTACCGTCAAGTTGAAGTGGCGTTGGCCAATGGTGGAAAGACTCAACTGGCGATCACCCGTGGAGGCACACTGGTGAGTCCTGACTTGGACATTGAGCCGATCGTTCCGATGGGCTTGCTGATTGGCGTTCTGGGCTGCAAAGCAACATGGGAAGAAGGTGGAATCACAGTCATCCATCCAAAGATTGGCAAGCTGCCGATCAACCAAAGTGAAGGATGCCCACAGGTATCACGTCAGTTGGCTCTTCAGCTCATTGAGGAGATTGAGGACAAAAAGCTATGCATTGGCGAGGTGGCATCCGACTTCACCAAAGAAGAGGCATGGTTGGAAAGGCTGATCAAAGAACACCCAGTGCTGTCTTCTTTGCCGTCTTGGATTCAAGAAGGCCTCAAATGCGAAGTTGGAGAATGGAATCACCTACCATGCAACAAAAGGATGAGAAAACGAATGAAGCGAGATGGCTATCTTCTTCATCTGTTTGCGGGCCCTGATCAAGGCTTCACACTTCATCGAGCTTGGCATCAAGTCGGAGGAGAAGGTTGGCAGTTGTTAGAAGTTGATGTAGAAAGAGGAGAAGAACAAAATCTTTTGGAGTCCAAGCTCTATGGGGGGCTGATGAGGACGGCATTAGAAGGGAAGATTCGAGCCATCATTGGAGGCCCGAACTGTCGAACAAGAAGTGTGCTCAGGCACATCCCAGTTGAAGGACATCCAGAAGCTCCGCGACCA